TATGGTACACATGTACTTGCGCTGTCATTGAACCCGATTACCGAGACTCTCGAACCACCCATAACTCTTCTATGTTGTAACTTGTGTTGGTCCTTATAGGCAATCACCTCAACCTATCAACATACCATGGTAACTTCATTTAAGACAACGAAGTTTCTTCTTTGACACATGGTTACGAGCTACAACATAAATGCTGGACACAGTTTCGTGACTCAAACTTAGTCTAACATGAATACTGACCCTAGTTTTGAGTCCCGAAAGAGTGTTGTTGGTTACCAATCGCTAGCACGCCGATAAGACGCACATGTTACGAACATGGTTTACTCAACTTGTTTGTAATGTAAAAAAGCCCGATGTATACAACTCTCTCGTGTATTTTCCTTGCGGATCCAAGGTTTTATACCTGGGCACCCGACCCCAACGTCTTGGGAGGTGTCTGCTCTGTTCTCCGGGACTCTGCAAATACCCTGCAGTAATTATCTCCTCGCGCCGCTACAATTCCCGCTCTGTAAGAAATATAGCCCATCCCCCTGTAGGCCAACGTAGCTCCCACTGTACTTATTGCATCTGCGGGACAGAGAGATAGAGAGAAGCAGATAGGAGAGAGAGAGAAGCTAGACGGACAGACCGAGAGAAGAGAGATAGAGACAGACAGATCTAGAGATCTAGAAAGAGAGAAGCATAGAGAGAGAAGCGGAGATAGAGCTATACCCCAGAGAGATCGCAGAGATAGAGAGAGAGACATATAGAAGAAATAGATGATAGAATAGAGAGAGAGAATAGTATATCATAGAGCGATACACGATAGAGAGATATAGAAGAGAGCGATATACCATACATCAGATATAGAGCATGAGCGACAGACCATAGCTATATTCGATCGATAGATAGAGAGCGAATAGAGTACCTATAGAGCTAAGAGAGAGAGAGAGATAATAGATAGATAATATCTATAGTATATAGATTAGATCGACATACATATAGATATATATACAGATAGAGATACTATATATATATATATACATATGATATAAGATATATATAAGTATAATATATATATACTATCACTCAATAGATAGCTATATAGATAGATATATACACATATATAGAAATATATTATCTATCTATATGACATCTATATATATCCATATATAGATCAGTCTATAATATCTACATAATAGATAATACATAGAGATATATCATGATATAGATATATAGATAGACCATATGATATATAGACATATAGAATAAGATATCTATATACATATATAGAGATAATATATAATATATAACCTTGAAAAGCAAATTTTCGTCCATTTACGCACATGAGAAGATCTGCAACCAAATATAATGTCGTAAAACTACAAACTATGCAGGTGGGCGCAATTTGGCTTATGGGCCAAGAAATCCACAAAGTTTCCTCTGCAAAATGTTCGCTTGCTACCGACGCACCTTTCCTCACTAACACTTCCTACTGCATTTTCTAGCACATTACAGTCAAACTGTATGTATGTGTGTGTGTATGTAGTGTATGTATATGATCCTTACACTTGGTCTCGTTGTATCCAACTATGGAGCACACTGTGAGGGCGTCGATATTGGTCCAACCGATCTGACAGACGCTGCCCCAGTGGCTGTTGAAACACACCTCCACTCTCCCTTCGTGTGGATCAGTACTGCCAGCCAGTCGGATATCTCCATTGGTGCAACTGGCGTTGCTTGCTGGAGTAAGGAAGAGAGGATAAAGAGGAGAGAGAGAGAGAGAGAGAGAGAGCGAGTTGAAAAGAGGGTATATATTAACCGAAAAAGGGGTAGGTTAGTGTCGTCTATGCATGTGATTTATATGCATCTCTAAAGACATGATAAACGGTGCTGAGTGGCATATTTGTTTGATGAACTTTGTCTCATGACACAAACATGTACACTACGAATCAAGTACACCTCTCTTAATCACTTGGTTTAATCTGTAACTTAACCTTCCAAAGACACCTTAGTTTAAAGGATGGTCTCAGTATAAGCCTTCTTTTACTGCATATGATTGCCTGGCAAAGGCTTTCATGTTGCAACATATTTTGTGTGGTGCAGGCCCAAATGATGGTGCATGACAGACACAATCGTTATGTTAATCGCTCACATTGGCACAGGACGGACACAACTTCGGTGGGGAAACAGAAACGGTTGGCGTTGTAGATGCATTCTGTGAGTGTTGACTCCGTGCTGTGCAGCTGACACGAGACGTCGTGATGGGAGGGCCAAATCCAAAGAAACCGTTGGGCAGAGCAATAGCTGCAGAATCAATGCATCGCCATAACATACATAGCTACGCACTATGCCTTGCCCAGTTAATTTTTCTAGCAAAGCTGCATAACAAGGTGATTTTTCTTCGTCTATTATTATCATGCGGTGCCACTTCGTGCAGGAAAACAATTTTACCCAATCACCATATTTTGCTACAATGGTACTCTTAAACTGCAATAAGACAACACACGTTTAAAATTCTATTTGGTCCAGAAACGAACGACACCTCACCTCCCTGGCCGTCATTGTACCCCAGTTGTCTGCATGCAATTGCTGCTTCAGTTGAACCAAATCCATTGTCACAGATTGCGCCGTAGCGCTGGTCGAAACAGATCTCCAGTCTCCCGTCCGAATCGTAGGGTCCATCAGCAAGTCTGATATCACCATTATTACATACAAACCCTGTGAGAGGAGAAAGAGGGGCAGAAAGAGGGAGGTAGGAGAGAGGGGCAGAAATAGAGAGGTAGGAGAGAGGGAGGTAGGAGAGGAGGGGAGAAGAGGAGGTAGAGAGATGTAGAAGAGGAGGTAGAGAGCAGAGGGAGGTAGGTAGAGAAATGGAGTAGGAGAGAGAGAAGAGGGTAGGTGGGGAGTGGTGCGAATGGAGGTAGGAGAGAGGGGGATGAAAGATGTATCACTAGTTCTGTCATTTTCCGAAGGAGTTATGATCTACGCAGAGCACTCTCCCACATGCACAGCACAGCATAGAAGGTGAGTTCATGGAAAATAGCAGAAAGGATTTCTGATTCAAGAGTAGTGAATCGCACTTATGGGAAATGGGGAAGACCAGATCTTGTCTGGGAGTTGTAGCTCAGTGGGTAGTGTACCAGGACTTCCAGTACCACTGTGCTTGAGTGTGGCTCTGGAGAGAGGTTGGTTCTTTCTCTTCTGCCTGTGCATTGCTAACCATCCGCCCCCAGGTCAATTAAGAATGGACGGCTGAAGAATAGTAGCAATGAACAGAGAAAGAGAGAGAACTAGCCATTAGCCACCACCTCCTCGGTTAGTACGTGGCATTATTGGACGTGGCGCCCGAATTTGATGAAACAGAAGCCAGTTCTTCATACAATAATGCCGTTTTCTTCTAGCTATGTATGTCCTCACGTGAGCAGCGGACTCCGACATCTTGCAGGTGAGAGCAGGTTCCATTCTGAGGTCTCTCGTGGTAGCACTCCAGCAGTGCCTCCTCCGTCCCTCGGCAGAGGAAATTGTTCCACAAGATGACTCCGGTCCCGGCGCCAAACCTACCGTCAGTCACTGCAGCTGCATCTGTATAATATAACAGAACAGCAACAGTATAATATACATGTGTAATAGTAAGTACTCAATTTAGAAATGTTAAGGGCCCAGTGAATCAATTTCCATTTTTAGTAACACTTTCATGGAAATAAAACGCAACACCTTGAATAATTAACCCTCGGCGCGCATGCGCAGCGAGGGTTACGGTAGTTGGTTTGTCTGTCTGTCTGTCTGTGTGTGTGTGTGTCGACGCTTATTCTGGCACTACAGGCCACGAGGTGGCTAATGAGCGATACCAACGGCTTCAGAACTACGCGAACCTGAAAATTTATTAGGCGATTTTCCTGAAACGACTGCGTTCGAGAGCGACAAACTGGCACGGTCGCGGACCGAGTTCCGTGGCCCAACCCATCATTAAGCGGTGCGCATGCGTATAGACACGATCAACGCGGTATGCTGGCTCCACCTCTACCTGATCCGCTTGCTCTGTGTACCTTGGAGGCACAAGAAGCCACAGCGAAGGGCGTGTATCGACTGCCGCTACTACCGTAGCTAGCCCGTGTCAGATTCTCCGCGAGCTACTAGCGGGAGACCGCGGGTAAACGCCAATAGCCCAGCCCATCCATTAGCGATACCGCTCATGCGCAGTTCGCCGAGGGTTTTTCAGTGCTTTTCATTGTAATAAGTAATACATCGCGTTCCCTACCTGTTTGAGCTAATCCGAGTTGTTTGCAGACGACTGCAGCATCGGGGCCGTCCCAGAAGTTCCGACAGATTGTTCCCCACACTCCATTGATGCAGACCTCCACTCGACCCTCCAACTCAGTGGCACCTCCCCTCAGACGGAGGTCTCCGTTGGTACAGTTACAGTCTTCGCCTGCAGACACACACAGTGGGTACGGGGGACACAGACAGACAATGGCAAATCAACTTTACTACATACATGACATAACAAAGAGTTGTTCTGTGTGGGATAAGCATATTACAGTATCTCTCATCTTGTGGACTTTTTTTAATTTTTATAGGCAATGCAAGTATATATTATACTACCTACCTACGGAGGCTCCTATGCTTGCCAGTGCACACAGATACAAGATACATACATTTACTAGCGCCGCTCTCTTTACACAAGGAGAAATGATCCAAGGGGAGAAGAGAAAATGGAAGAGGTAAACTGTGCGGTTTGCGGAGGAAGAGATTTGACCAAGGGGTTGAGTGCGCCCCCCCTCCATACTGCATGAACCCCCGAACAATACAAAAATCAACTCACAATCTGAGGAGCAGACGACAGAGGCGTCCTCCCTGTGCTGACAGTCGTGGTCTCCAACAGACGCATCAATGGAAGCGAAACATTCGATGAGAGTAGAATGGTTCTGTGGGCTGCAGTTGGCATCGTCCAGGAATATGGCACCAGTACCTTGTCCAAAGAACGCATTGCGCAGAGCCAGAGAGCCTGGAGTGACACAAAGCATAGTTACTGTACATCGTACTATATAATCGTACGGTTCCTTGGAATCTAGTCACAAGAGAGCACATTCCCCTTTTCTACAGAAGCTGCTGAGAAATCCTTTTGGGTTCATTAAAGGGAGTGCAGTTGTAAGGGCTCAATTAAGAATTAAGTACTGAAGATAGAACAAAACAACAAGCCCCCCTGAAAGAATATCCCGTCTACTAAATTTAACACTTATACAATGTAAAATATGTAATTCCTAGAAAAAACCAAGTCGTACCCATCGGGTCGAAGCCCAGTTGTTTGCAGACGACCTCGGCATCTCCGGTGTCCCAGTCATCGTCACACACTGTGCCCCAGGCGTTGTTGAAACACACCTCAACTCTCCCCGAGTAGTTTCCGCTCCCACCCACCAGACGGACGTCTCCGTTGTCACACACTTTAGTCTCGTTGGCTGCGTGTGTGATGATGTAATCATTACATCACGGTGGGTAACAGGTTGGCAAGTGGAAAGCAAAGCAGCGTGACGGTTATGTAACTACACACAATAACACATATACAAACACACACATGGCAATCTACAATTCTTGCACAAAAATGAAACTTTTTGCCTAAAATTTGTGCTCATGAGCTTGCTAAAAGATTACATCATCACAAACACCGGAATGTGACAAGCTGAAAAGTCAATTATAGACACAACAACTTGTATTTTACATGGTATTTTTGCCATGTGTCCAGTCAAAGTCATGCATATAGCAGCTGGCCACAACGCCAGCTAAACTTCCCCCCACAATCACGTGTCATACATAGTGTGTGTACAAGTGCTATAGAGCTGGTACATGCTGTTGTGTACCCCAACAGACACTACTTGTGAAACACATCTAAAAGTTGCAATAACGGCGACACTCATCCAAAATTTGTTGCTGTACTGTCAAAAGTACTGTTGAGGCATGTTTTTTTTCAATGTAGAAGATGCTAAGCATGCAAGGCGTGGCTTTCAATGCTAGCTATGTGCTGTAATGTGTTTATATAGTGTCTTTGCATTGTTAAAAGTAATGTTGGGGCATGGTTTTTTTTATGTAGAAGATGCTAAGCATGCAAGGTGTGGTTTTCAATGGCAGCTACTAGACATTGGTGGTATACGTGGTCTGTCCTGCATTACTTCCATTGAGGATTCAATACTTGCATGTAACTCACAGGGACAGAGGATGCTGGCGTCCTCGACGTGAAGACAGTTGCTCTCTCCAATCTCCCCCGGATAGAAACAGTCCTCCAGTCTCGTCTCGTTTCCCAGGCAATCCACGTCGTCCAGGAATATCACTCCAACTCCACCCCCGTACAGAGCCAGAGGTAACGCGATGGCTCCTGGAGATGTGTGGGAGCGAGATATAATATGCTGACAGTGTGGAATTTGAAGAGATATATTCATAAAGTACGAATGGGAAATGTGCTAATTGTCATATAACTTCTGGTATAAAACGCCAAAGTACGTAGTATGCACTCCAAACTTTAAAAAGTCCAATAAAACTTGTGGTATATAATATGTATACCTAGTTGTAAAATTCTCATATAACTTCCGGTATATATGTATGTATGTGTAATGATATTCAAATAGCGTAGCAAACAAGTTTACACACGTGTACAAGCGGCAGTAACGCAGCAAACAGTTTTTAAGCATGTAGCCAGCGGTGGTACATTTCAGTTTACATACGTCCCTCCTAGTCAACCAGGTAAACATAAACTGGACTACAGTTTAAACACGACACCGACACGTATGTACATTAGTCATGTTGGTATAGGCAGTTTACTATGGGATTGCATTGTGGTGTATGTTTAGCTACAAACCAAGATGCATGTGACTATAAACATGGTGTTTCCCCCGTGGCACACTGCCAATACCAGCCCACGCCCGCCCCTGACAGACACGCATACCGCCCTGACTGACACACACTACCTGAATTACTGGCCATAATGCAGACAAAGGCTCTCCAGTTAGCTAGTTATGGAAGGTATGTACAACAGTCTCACATTGGAACTTGGGCGTGTACATACATGCATCATATCGGGACTCGGGTGCGCACATATCACGTACGAGCTAACAAATTAAGGGGAGACGGGGTGCGATTGCATAATGTTGTATACTCTATTTAGTGCACACCGGAGATCCACATGCACACACATACAGAGATACTTATATATACTTAGCACGCACCAATGTACACACATATATACAGTGAACGCAAAAGGGTGCACGTGCTTTTAAGAGTTCACACACGAGAACAAAGTCACTCTTCTGCATCTCAATTACGTTGTTCAGAAGCCCAAGTTCTGAGCTACTTCTACCACTGATGAGAGGAGAGTGTGATGTGCTCATCTGCGTGTCTCTCTTTTTTCCAGCATTCATACGGTACATTATTTTTTCACGAGTGTGTGCTGACCTTCTGATTGGAGGCCCAGTTGTCCGCAGACTACGGCTGCGTCCACGTTGTCAAATTCGTCGTCACACACGGTACCCCAGTGACCGAGGAAACAAACTTCCAGTCTCCCTTCGTTGAACGTCTCTCCACCCACCAGTCTCACTGCTCCAGACTCACACGCATTCTCTTCATCTGACGGAGAGAAACAGAAAGAAGGAGAGGGGGGGAGAGAGAAGAGATAGAGGTATGGGAGGGGGTAGAGGGATTGAAGAAAGCATGAGGGGGGTGAGGAAAGACAGTGCAGCAAAGAAGAGGGAGGGAGAGGAAGAGGGAGAGGAGAGTGAAAAAAACTTCACTTAAGTGCAAAAATGACAGCAACACACACCACGTGTTTTACTTTGTTGCGTGAGAAAAGTGAGTTTATGAGCGCTGCTAACTACGTAAATACACATGTGCACAATTTGTGTGCTTATCAACATAATACATTGGAGCTGGATGGTGGAGACTTTGGTCCTATGCTATATACAAGGTTGGAACCAGTAGGTATAAACATGTAACAGCTGGCACCCACTTTCATGTCTTGCTGTCATTGTATTGCTGTATATGCTACACCGCAGCATTCACCACACTAACCTATTGATTCATTCACACCTTGTTGTCTGTCTATACCTCACTGCCTATAAATGCTCAACCATGCAGGGGCGGCGATGATTTTATTGGAAGCCTGTGCCTCTACCACTACTGCTGCGCAGGCAGGCCACGAAAGCTACAAACAGAGGTGCCAGGAGGGTGCGAACGAGGAAGGTTGAAGGGTGCACAAAGTGGGGCTGTTGAAGAGGATGTGAGGACATGGATGAGCTGGGAAGGGGTGAGGAAAGCAGAGTAGGCCAGACCACACTTCACTCTCCATCCACCCACATTGACCAGGAAGTACAGCTGGCAGTGGTAAACACACGCCCAATCAGAAATGAAGTCAGACTATGGAGTGAACCCTGTGACACAATTACACACCCTGGACACCATAGGTGCTAATATACAGCCTCAAAGGCTAGGAAATTGTCACTACAAAGGAAGCCAGCCCTGAATCCCACCCTGTGGAGTAGCCTCCATTCACAACAACCACTGCCACTAGCTACAACCAAACTCTGACTTGTATGGGCTTTAAACATGAGAGTTGGGCCCATAAAAGACTCTTTAACCTACCGCCCCGGTTCTCAAGGCTGGGCACCCAGGGTCCTGCCTCTTTCTTTCTGTTTATGTTATTGTCTGTGTTTTTGTACGCTTGGGTATGTTATTGTCTGTGTTTTGTGTGCTTGGGTGGGGGAGGTTCTTTCTTTTCCTCTGAGCTAGTATGCTATAAACATGTTTTTTCATGCTAGTGGAGTACACTAATTGGGCAATAATCTACATGTTTTGCCTACTAGGAAGACAAGCACAACAGCCTTCTCCCTTACACATAATTTCTCTTGCTGTGCTTTACTTACACATGGGCATTTCTCAGACATAATGCCATCACAAACAAGCAACTTCATAGTATAGAGGGAGGTTGATTTAGTGCTTGAGTAGTAAACGTAATGGTGTATAGTTATGTGTGACAGTAAGATACATAACCCCCCACAGTCACTAACCAGGGCACACGACACCAGAATCTTCGTCGTGGGAGCAGAAGAACTGTGCGATCCCTACGTGAGGACACTCCGCCAGGTTGGCTTCAGTTCCAGAACAGTTGACGTTAGCCAGTAGAATGAGACCATCCCCCCCTCCAAAGTCACTGAATGTGATCGGAATTGCACCTGCAGACACATGCATGGAACAACAAGGCATGACACTAACTGAACAGTCTATGTTTATATCACGTCTCTTGCGATAGTATATACATCTTAAGCAACGTCAAAGCTCCGAAAAAAGCTGAAAGCTCCGATCTTTAGGAGGCAGTTGTCACTGTGTTACTTTGCCTAAGTTTCATTCGACATCGGCACTGATGATGTTATGTGTCCAGCAAAAATTTGACCGGATTAGAAGTGCCGTGAGGTTTAGTATAGACAAGCATGTATCAATGTGAGGGTTCAACCAAAGTGTTACCCTTAGACTTAGTGTATTGCCTTAGTGCTACCGCTCGGGCCATTGCATTTATAACTTAGACGTAGTGTATTGCCTAGTGCTATCCACTGTGCCCCTGTGCTCGTTTCTTGTCGCGCCACTCTTATATAGACCTTAGTCTCACTCACTCAGCTCCTGTACTAGTTCCTTCCCGCACGGGTTAGTGCTCCCACGTGCGCCGCTTGCATTTATAACTTAGACTTAGTTGGTATTGCCTTAGTGTGCTAAGCCACTCTGCGGCCATTGCATTTATACTTAGACTTAGTGTAATTGCCGCCTTAGTGCTGACCACTGCGGCCTTGCATTTATAACTTAGACTTATGTATTGGCCTTAGTGCTACCACTGCGCCTTGCATTTATAACTTAGACTTAGTGTATTGCCTTAGTGCTACCACTGCGGCCTTGCATTTATAACTTAGACTTAGTGTATTGCCTTAGTGCTACCACTGCGGCCTTGCATTTATAACTTAGACTTAGTGTATTGCCTTAGTGCTACCACTGCGGCCTTGCATTTATAACTTAGACTTAGTGTATTGCCTTAGTGCTACCACTGCGGCCTTGCATTTATAACTTAGACTTAGTGTATTGCCTTAGTGCTACCACTGCGGCCTTGCATTTATAACTTAGACTTAGTGTATTGCCTTAGTGCTACCACTGCGGCCTTGCATTTATAACTTAGACTTAGTGTATTGCCTTAGTGCTACCACTGCGGCCTTGCATTTATAACTTAGACTTAGTGTATTGCCTTAGTGCTACCACTGCGGCCTTGCATTTATACACTTAGACTTAGTGTATTGCCTTAGTGCTACCACTGCGGCCTTGCATTTATAACTTAGACTTAGTGTATTGCCTTAGTGCTACCACTGCGGCCTTGCATTTATAACTTAGACTTACTTGCCATTATATCACTGGTATAAGAAAGCTCTGCATGAATGTATGTATGTATAGGGGCTGAGTTGTGACCTACATACCTTCACTGGGGTAGTTGAGTTCTCGGCAGACGACCTGTGCCTCAAGTGGTCCCCAGCCGTCATGGCAGACGGTCCCCCAGTGGTCATTGTAGCACACTTCGACGCGACCTTCACTCCCAATCCTCCCGTTGACCAGGCGAATGTCACCATTCGTACATGTAGCATTAGGAGCTGCAGAAGAAACCACCGTTTTAAACTTATGTCTGCCCTTATTATATGTGCAGCTTAAACCTACTCCCGTTTAAAGCTAGAACTTAAACAAGAAGTTTAGCACGAGTTTTATTTTCCGACATGCTAAACTGTGGGTGTGTACCTCCACGAAAACTATGGCTTGTGAGAAAGAACACTCAGGCCCAGTGCTCTGGGGGGTGTGGTCTATGGCCCTAGTGAGTGCTACAGTATGGCTGCAGTTTTATTATGCATCGTCTTTTAAATTTTTTTTTATCCCCTTTAAAATCGGGCTAGAGGGCTCCTATACATTTCTCGCAGAGATTATTTCAGGCTTAGTGTGGCTAAGGACCAAGATGGATGATGCAGCTAACTCACGTGGACACAGGACTCCAACATCGAAGGAGTGACTGCAGAAAATTGAGAAGAAGGTCAGGGCGATGGTGCAGTTGGAGAGGGAGGGCTCGTCGCCCGTGCAATCCAGTCCGGCCAGGTGGATCTCTCCAGACCCACGGCCAAAGTTACCTCCAGCTATTGATATCGCTCTGCCTGCACACAACATTACACACAGCTGTTGATACTGCACTGGCTGCACACAGCATTATTTATAATTATTTGTCCTATGTATATGTATCTTAGTTATGCACTGAGACATAAAATCATGTAATTGCATGCTTTACGTGTGACGCAACAACGTGATCACAATGAAGGCAAAGCAAAGGCAAACTACACAAGACAACACTTTTTAAAGAGCTGCCCAGGGTAAGGTGGGATTAAAAACCAACGGCACACAGCAGTCTCGGCAGAGTGTTCTACCCACTTATCAACCAGGGCAGCTCAGCAGGCAGGGCTCAAAGATATCACTGGTAATGTATGCCCTACCACTTGGAGTTGGTGTAAAGCCCAGTTGGTTGCACACCACCTGAGCGTCATTGTCGTCCCACGTGGTATCGTCACAAATTGTTCCAAACGAGTTCCCGAAACAGTATTCCACTCTTCCCCCATATTGGTTGTCTCCGCCCACCAGACGAACGTCTCCATCGTTGCAGCTGAACCCAACCTCTGTAGACATAACACACACGTGTGTGTGCATGAGTGTGTGTGTGTGTGTGTGTGTGTGTGTGTGTTTAGAAAGTTGAGTATTGTATACTTATAAACGTGCATGCATGCGTACATGTAAACAGGTCCAAGGGAGCAAGGCAACGGTGCACAACAACACAACTACACCCAGGAAACAAAAATAGCTGACGAAACTGTGTACTTTTGTAAGAGCCATTGGCTATTTTGGAGGTTGTATATACTGGAATCCCCAGTCACTATACATACATTAGACAACGCTTAGTTAATTCTGGTGTGCTGCCGTCCAGTAACCCCAAATCTATAATTATGGTTGACCACATGTACAAATGCAATTACATCTCATTTCCATCGGCGTAATTAATGCAACCACCCTTCGTGCTGTTATATGCTACAACACGTCAATGTTACTGGGCGTGGACCAGCAGAGTTACCTGAGTCAATTCACGTAAAGAATGCATGTTGACTTTCTTGATTAACTTTATTACCCTTTAGTGCTTAAGGTTCCTGTTACTTTGGTCTTTGTTTATGCACAGTTTGTGTGTGTATGGTTAAAGTGCACTCTCAACCTGAACATACTATAGTGACACACTCCTTTGGCTATTGCACAACGCACCGTAGTTACTATAGTGACACACTCCTTTGGCTATTACACAACGCACCGTAGTTACTATAGTGACACACTCCTTTGGCTATTACACAACGCACCGTAGTTACTATAGTGACACACTCCTTTGGCTATTACACAACGCACCGTAGTTACTATAGTGACACACTCCTTTGGCTATTGCACAAAGCACCGTAGTTACTATAGTGACACACTCCTTTGGCTATTACACAACGCACCGTAGTTACTATAGTGACACACTCCTTTGGCTATTACACAACGCACCGTAGTTACTATAGTGACACACTCCTTTGGCTATTACACAACGCACCGTAGTTACTATAGTGACACACTCCTTTGGCTATTGCACAAAGCACCGTAGTTACTATAGTGACACACTCCTTTGGCTATTGCACAAAGCACCGTAGTTACTATAGTGACACACTCCTTTGGCTATTGCACAACGCACCGTAGTGCGTGCAACGATTTAGACAGGCTAACTATAGGGGCTGCTTGCAGACCCACTAAGTGCTATAGGTGGAATGCTCGCTCAAAGTATTTCCACTAGTTTTATAAAATGAACTAATGTGGTATTGTCCACCCAACAACTCAAGTCCAAGATATCTATACGGCCACATACCAGACATGCTTTAGGATATCTGGCACAGCTCTACTTTTTTATGTTTCCAGCTCTTTTCATGCAGTACAAACGGAGTTAGATATAATTGGTGAGTCAAGCAAGCCTGCGTGGTCATCTGAATGTTGTATCGGCACGGCTCTGGCCAATCTTTGCAACATTCTCCAGAACTTTGAACATTTGGGATAGTGCACACGTGAATAACGGAAGTCGTATACACTTTCTTGCAATGACCCGCTTGCCAAAAATGTGGTGCATTTGTTCCAGTCTTAAAAATGCAAGGAGTGTAGGTTTAGGCCCTTAGAAATACAAGCATGTGACTTGGCGAAGTACCATGATTTTTCATGTAACTTGTGCTGTTGAGCCGAGGTGTATAATATATAGTATAACTATACTCTTGTATAAGACACAAGGTTTCTATACGACCCAAACATGGGTACACATACGTACAGTGTTTATGTACTCTAGTGAACTCGAGTGCCTGCTTAAAGCACAGTTGCAAACGCAGCAACAGTTCACCTGCTGATAGCTTACCACATGACTCTACACTCTGACTATTCAAAAAAAAACCCCCTTTAGAGGAATAAACAAAACTAGGTGATGACAGATGACAGTGTATTAGTAAACGATAGAGACTAGCTATACATAATCTAGAGAAGTTGGTATAGTGCGTCCATAAAAATGTGAAAATTAGTTTACCAAAATAATTATGCACCGCATCTGGGCTTGATAGCTATAAAAACTGTGGGCCTGAAAATAAAGACCAATATGAGATTTCTGAGAAGCAACCCCAGGTGTTAATTTGTGTAGGAAGTGAGGAATTATAGGATCTCTGAAGCTATTGGAACAGTGCATGGAGTGTCATCAGGATGTGGCCGGGGAGTACTATGTAGACCCCACATGGAAGCCTTGCTGAGTTGTGAACAACAGTCTCTCTCTAAGAGATGAGCTTATTTCCTCCCTATAAACTAAAGCAAATGTGATGGATACTTGGCAAGAGATGTGTATAGATCGTGGCCGTTGAACTACTCTACATAATGTTGGCGAATGTGCATTTTCCATTGCACACATTGCACAGTAAAATTCAGAGGAATACGGCTCGTTTCGCTCGCCAATTCTAAAGGAGAAGAAATGAAACGGTTGTGTGTTAGGGTAAGGTCGGCAAAGAGCACAGCAAACAATCTAACTGGGAAGTGGTGTACATCAACATATCTATTTTGCCTCAATTGCAAAAAAAATGCATCATCACCACAACAAGCTCAAAGTCATCAACTGACTCGATAATTACATACTCATTAAAACCACTAGTGTGTATGATTTTGCAACCTATTGAGCAGGCCTGCAGCAGAGGCCCAGTGAAGAAGGTAACTATATATTACGGAGCTAAGTAGGTGAAGAGGAGAAGATGAGAGAAAAATGCAGCACCCATTCACAGACCAGCAGGCACAAGAAAACTGCCCACTTGTGGGGAATAGGCAGGAAATTTGAGTACATTACCACCTCTTTAGCTCCTTCTACACTTCCCAGAGAGTTGCCACTTCAGCAAGGTTTAAGATTTGAAAAACTGAATGGTTAAATGGTTGATGGATATGCCATAGTCAGGTTGGGAATCTTTAAGAAAAATAGAAAAGATATCTGACCGCGACGTGATTTGAACACGCAACCTTCTGATCTGGAGTCAGACGCGCTACCATTGCGCCACGCAGCCACAACTAATAACCACCCAGCAAATTGTGTTCAAACCTATACATACAGTATTTACTCAACAAACCGAGATGAACGGCAAACACATCTATAGCACCAAAACCAAGAGAAAGACACAAAAACAAACAAAAACAGGACTAGAGCCTGACCTTCACAAAAGACGCCGGCGTCCTCAAAGTGGCGGCAGTTCAGTGGTGGAGCTGGTACAGTTGGAGATGCTCCTTCGTCTCCGTTGCAGGCCACGTCGTCCAGGTGGATTGAGCCAACGCCAGGCGAGAATATACCTCCAAAGGCTGCCCTCGCACCTGCAGTATTCCACACAGGTCCAGTCATATATATATATTGCACACATCATGAAGGACATAGGCTATAGGCACATGGTGCGATGTATGAAACAAAGGGAGATGCAACAAATTTCAACCACAGACCCAAAATTTTTCACGAAACACTCCAGTTTTAGTCCCACTACAGCATGGAATAGGCCATATTATAGCCCTTGCAATGATATAATATTTTCGATTACTGCCCAGTGTAGTGGGTTACATTTGTGTTAAGGTTTCAAGTGTGCAGGTTGTAGCCCTTATTCCAGCTCTACATGACATTTGCAGACAAAACGCAGAGAGCCACATACACATCATTACGAATTGCTGTTGTGCCCAATTATTGTGCAAACACTGTGCCCATAGCAATACACACCTCTCGCAGTACACTAGCTTACATAATAGTAATACAGCATACAACAAGCTCCTAACATGCTCGCTGCTCACATACCATCTGCTGCAAAGCCGAGCTGTCTGCACACTACTCTGGCGTCAGGCGGTCCCCAATTGTCGTCACACACTGTCCCCCAGACTCCGTCCTGACACACCTCCACTCTGCCCTCACGAGGTGTCGTTCCGTTTACCAGTCGCACAGACCCCTCCGCACACACTCTCCCATGAGGTCCTGGGAGACAGAACGATGTGTATACACTTTATGCTCACAAGTCGCAGAAGTTCGATTCCCACCCAGGATAGCTCTTCTTTTCTCCTTGGAAAAAAGGAGTTGTCCTGGGTGTAGTTGACTTGTTGGCTCTGCCTTTGCCTTGGCGGCCTCCTTACGTTTGCATGAGTCTTTGTGTAACTTAACCAAAGACTTAGTTAGTTTATTATGCCGGTTGACGGAGGGGCATTTTGCACTTGCAAATCCTCTGTTTAAGTAAGATCTATAGGCAGAGTTAGAGCGACACCTGGTATTATATGCCCAAGAATATTGGTTGTTTTCACTCATGCTTGGCAAGTGAGACTGTGATGACCGGAAATTATACCAGCAAGTTCACAGCCAGGGGGAGGAGAGCATGAACTAACTGGTCTACTACTGTCATTGGTATCAACCGGAGATTAAAGAGAGGGTTCTATTCAACAGCCACCATCTTTGTAGATATAGATGCCCACAAATTAACAAAAGTGCACGGCTTCATATGGAGTTATGGAACCTGTAGTATAATGGTTCTTCATCGATCTGATAACCTCCACTCTCAGTTGCAATACTCAGAGTTCACTACTCCGTTTATACTAACTTCAGGTTCCTATATACATGCACTCGGAACTCTATCAGATATGCAGCAATGGGAAATATTGCAGTGAGCTACGTTTTGAGACAACTGTGCTGCGTGTAGTGTTTCCATAGACTACATAAAGTTCGCCTGCCAAAAAACGGATTTGGGAGGAATGACAAACACGTAGCAGCACAGGTACACAAGTATAACTATTAGGAGTGTTCGTTACTGCTGCTATAAGCCAGTTATTTCATCACCTTAAAAAGCACGCTAATCCCTTCCACGATTAGCTACATAGCTGAGAGAATCGCATTGGTGCCCCACCTTACACAAACAGGGGGTCCCCTAAGACAACCTGCACCTATATAGCTAGCTACACCGTTCGTGTGCTGGGCTGTAAATATTCATCTGGAAACCAGCCACACAGAAATACAATGCTCAGTGGACAAAGCACAGTCATCAAGCTGTGTCCCCCGCCCGGATCCCAGCCAGAGAACAATTGCATGGACAGGCTTTTGAAATTGTGCCGTACCAGGGCGGACTGTGTGAGACAAGAACCTGGCAGAGAGGCATCCCCTACTAAAACACGGTACTGGCAGCTATCCAGAGCCGCGTTTACCGTCACGTCACACGACTGACCGTGAGCGGGTAAAATCTCAACCGTAACTACAGGTAAGAATGCAAGAGAGGCAGGCACCCACGACACGGACACGACGGGAAAATGCTTCACGTCTTTCGTTGCAGCAAAAAAAGTGCAAGTACGCGCCCGCGCCTACGCACGTGTGGCTGTAACTCACGTACTTTGCGCTTCCAGAGAAGGTAGCATGGCCCCACAGAAGAGCACTGTAGCAACCACCAGCAGGCGTGGAGGATGCTGCATCGCGACTTCTCTCTGAGCACCACTGCGGTTAAGTTTTGCCTTGGCTCCAAAAGACCGTCCAATTTTATACAGGGCCGTAGTTCCCCGCATGTGCGTATGCGCATGCGCACTGTTTTGCGCCCTAACACTCTTTACGACGTAGACAAGGAGCGTTTTTGCACAAATATCGCCTCTATAATAGAGCAATTGTGTTTTCATTTCACCAGGAGTAGTCAAGCCAAAGTCAGAGTTCATGAATACAGCCTTACAAGGGGCACATTGCATAAAAAGATACATCAACAGTTGCAGATAGCTAATGTCGCAGTTCTCAATTGTGTCAGTAGACAATCTACAGTCAGAGCAGGGAGGGAGTTGCATAGAGTAAGAGAATGTGCTCAGATATACATATAGGACTAAGGTGTAGGCCATCGTGTGGTTGGATCTAGCTACGCATGCGCATTGCTTCTCACATCAAATCAGGGCAGGCAACCCTAATGTGGCGCCAGTGGAAAAAGACCAGGAGAGCAACATTCGCTGGTTGCGTCGCCACCATTGCCGGTGCAAAATATGTATCCTGTAAAAAGGAGAGCAAAGTACGACTAAAACCTCTCTCTGGAGGTCGTAGCGTGGCAGTGATAGGGGCCGGAGTTGGCGGATGCAGCTCCGCGTATTTCCTTCGCCGGCTCTGCGGCGACGGTCTCGATCTGCACGTCTTCGAGAAGGCCGTGGTCGGAGGACGGACTGATGTGATCGAGTTTGACGGGCACAAGTACGAGAGCGGAGGAGCCGTGATGCACAGCAGCAACAAATACCTCGCCGACTTCGCGGAACAATTCGGTGGGACACCTCCCCCATTTTACATAATAATTATGAGCAATTTCTGATGCTCCATGCAGGGCTGCCTACTCTTCAGGCGAAAGACGTTCCTTCCACACCCGGGGCAGTTTTCAACGGGAAGAAGTTCATCCTGACGCTGGGTACATGTGGCATTTGCACAGACCTGAAGCTCCTGTTCCGTTACGGACTGAGCACCGTCCTGTTTCAACTCTACCTCCGCTCGGAACTGAAGCAATTCTCAACTGTCTATCAGCTGCAGTCAAATGGAGAGGCATTCTCCAGTGTCCCCGAGCTTCTCAGTGCAATGGGAGGAGAGGAATTCGTCCAACAGACTCAATTCACAGCCCAAGATTACTTTGTTGGGAAGCTCGGCTGGTCGCAGAAAATGATCAATGAAATATTTGTTGCCGGTCTGCGGGTTAATTATGGCCAGGATTCCACAGTTGATGCCTTTACTACAATGGTCTCCATGGCAGGGGCAGAGAGTGGCAGTCTGTGGAACGTGGTCGGGGGGAATAAACAGATACCGGAGAGGGCACTCCAGTGGTCAAAAGCCACCTTCCACCATTCAGAGGTCCTGAACATAACTCGAGTCGACAAGGGGGATAGCTCGCCTCCTAAGTACAGAGTTTCCTACCAGGATGTAGGGTCATCTTCCGCTAAGTCGGAGGAGTTTGACGCCGTGATATTTGCTAACCCGCTCCCGCTTTCACACGTTAGCTTCACTGGATTCCTCGAGCCCGTGTACACTCCTATATCAACCTCTCCTTACCACCGCACAGTGGCAACGTTTGTCAAGGGCGAACTGAACCCGGCATTTTTCGGTCTCGATAGCTACGGTAAGGACTTTCCTTTTGACATAATGACAACAGCTGCAGTCCCAGAGGAAATCTCCTTCCCCCTCTGCTCGATTGGTTTACAGATTCCATCTGAGGCTACGGCTGAGATGGTCAAGCAGTACTTGACACCAGTTAATGAAAAACCTGAAAGAGTCTGGAAGCTGTTCTCCACACGTCCATTGACGCACGAGGAACTTGATCGACTGTTCTTGAAGCGAGGTGAAGTTGTGGCCGTCGACTGGAGAGCTTACCCTCAGTACAGTCCTCCCGAGCAATTTCCAAAGTTTGTGCTGGATGATGGCGTCTTCTACGTCAATGCTATTGAGCTGGCTGCCAGTGCCATGGAGATGTCTGCTGTGGGAGCCATGAACTGCTCTCTCCTGACCTGGAAGCATCTCTCTCAACTTTGATCATCAATGTTGAGTATAGAGATTCAGTAGTGATACATACAAGTATTATAGTGATTGATTCTCCCCCTTCTCCACTGGCCAGAAACAATGCCAACTTGCCTGCACTCGTACTCGAATACAGAGGAATAGACACCTTAGTGCAAGTCTTTAATGTTTGGTGTCATTGTGGTGGTGTAGTGTTTTTGACAATTATAAGCGCATGAGTATATACCAGATCCTGATCTCAACTAAACCTCCTGGGGGGGGGTGTTTTTCCAGCGCCCTCTCAAATGAATCTTAATCATGTGTCATACAGCTCGTGCACTCGTGTAATTTATGCACATGTGCATCTGCTTCAACGATTGCCGCAATACAGACCATTCACAATCAATGGTATACAGTAATTATGACCTCCAAGTGCTCAGATTGAGATGTGCATGTGATGATACTAAAATCTGTGTGTAACTCATCCCTGACAACTGATCAGGGACAGATTGTTTTCAAGAGTCGTTTCTTTGCCACCGCAGAGGAGGTAGAACAGGTTTTCCTACATATTGTCTTCATAGGCAATCTGCCTCGATCCAAGTATAGAGATCTCGAAGAGAAACCCGAGTCAAGAAGTTGTCAATGCTCATGGATGGTCACATGTGACAGGGGAGTGTCAAGGAAAGGTTATCATTTCACCCTAGGCGCGCATGCGCAGCTGGGGGTTTACTGGCGTGTCTGTCAGTCTGTCCGTTCCACGACATCTGATCTCACTTCACGAGCCATCAATCGCTCCACAAACAATACAACGTATTCAGCGTCGGGTATAGGTCGAAAATTAGAGAGCCCGCGCTCTCGGTTTCTGAACTCTTTCTCATAGGCTCCAACTGTGTCAGCGGAAAATTATGTTACACGCATACGTACCAAGTTTCATCTCCATGAGTGGTATATACCGTTAGCAAGCCTAATCTTCGGGACAGCCCCGGATTTTTGTCCCTGATCCCCGGAAGCTTTGCTATAATTCCCGGATTCCGGCGATCTCGCGATCTCGCGATTTCACGTGGAAAAGTTAGGATATATGTATTGTGTAACCACCACATTCGAGGGGTATGTGTGTCGTGACTATTTCTTCCGCGTGCGTGAAATAGGCAGACTACGCGCGCCACAGTTACGTAAGAACCACATGACTGCACTAGCGGCGGTAGACCCTCTAATATTCGGCTACATTGTCATTACGCAATACAAATTTGACTGCGCGTGTCGAAGCGAGGGGGGCGGTGGGCTGACAAACACAAAGCAGAGCTTCTTCGCGCGAATCGGAGCACTTACCGCTGCGTTTATAAACCCTACAGCATTGTTGTGCCCCTGGAAAGTCTCCATTAACGCCGATCTCCATCTGGAAGGAGTAGAGTCTATGGCCAGCAACGTCAGTGGTCCAGAAGTAGGGGGGTTGTCTCCAGGCTGCGTAATGGATGCGCATCAGGGACTCAGAACCGTTTTTCCAGGTGCCAGGAGCTCGAAAAGGCCCTTTATATGCACCGTAGTCCGGCGAATCCTGGGCATGAAGATGGCCACGTGCAGCCAGAGCTCTAGAACACTGTACATCAACATCAAATCCGCACTCGACGCTGCCCTTCGCCCCCTCGCCGGCGTCATGGCTGCAACAACTGTCAGAGGAGGCGAGAGCGCCGGGACCCCTGTCTGTCCCCTGTGTCGCTGCCTCATGATCCGCCCCGTCTGTTTGCCGTGCGGACATTCACTCTGCAAGCCGTGTCTCGCCCGGAGCACCAACAACCCGCTGTTCTGCGGCAGCGGAAGACATCGCACCGACCCTGTCTGCGCCCGCTGTCCGCGCTGCCAGCAGAGCTGGCCCGTCGTCCCGCCGGGAATGGAGGAGGACAGAAGACCCACCGTTGTCCTCCAGAACGCGTTCATTCGCTGGTACCCCGGCTGGGCGGAGTGCTGCAAGTACAGAGAGGAGGGAAACCGATTTGCACAGGAGGGAAACTTTGCCCTGGCTGTCCAGTACTACCACAAAGCTCTCGAGACTGGTAAGCCTCGCTATTGCAGTGTCTTCACTTCTCCATAGGCAGCATTGTACTTGGTGGTTAGTCATAGCTTTATCCATAGGAGCACCAAGCGGATAAAAGTGGCCAACACCGTGAACGTTTTGGTGCAGTTATGCACTCATCGTCATGTGCGATGGATGAGCCTATCAAGTGTAGGGGCCATAGATCATTGTTGTACTGTAGAAAGATAGTCGATGTGTGTACGCTAGTCCCCAAATGGCCTGTTGTACAATGTTGAGTAAGACATTTAGAAGGAAATGTATGCATGTACACTTGCCTTCATGTCATGCTTCTTTTGTGCATTGCCAATGAGTTAGCACATTCCTTTTCAGCTTCTCTACTGTTTTGTATGGACATTAACACAGTACACTTCCCCCTCTTCTTCTCCCTCTCTCTCTTCCTCCACCCCCCCCCCTCACTCACTGTCTGCAGGGATTCCAGATCACCGGGTGCTCAGTAACAGATCTCGTGCCTACCTTGCAATGGAGCAACTCAGTGAAGCCTTGGTCGACACTGAACTCTGCTGCAAACTGAAACCCACCTGGCCGAAGGTCAGCAGACTACCACCGAGAAGCAATACTATAGCCAATTTATTGAAGTAAAGATACCTCCCACTGCCAGAGCTATGTAACTGCATAAGTTGTTTTTATATACAGTGAAACAAGGTGTATATCAGGAGAGCTTTTGTCCTAGTTTTGCCACCAAATTGCTTCTCTGTAGAAGTGCTGCTGTAGAAGTTTCTGCATCTGGTAATCCATGAAATGATAGAGTTACAAGCCTGACGAAAAGCCCCAAGTGTTATGCTTACTTTTCTAAGTTGTTGTACCCACATGCTCACTCATCCATTCTCCGGTAACGTTAAGTTTGGTGACTAGTTGCCTGCATTTCTTACAGACTTACTTATAGGAACAAGATTAAGTGTTACAGAGCATTCATACTGCACACGCTTCCACACTAATATTCACAGGGTACACTGTATTATGTTTCTAAGCTTGATCACACGCTTCCAAAATGGCTGCCAGCTTGTGCATCATGCTACACCATGCTAGCACACGCGCCTGGAGAGCAGCTCCTAGCGCATGACATTGGTAGGGAGCATAATTATTACTGCTGCATGACCAGCTGAACAGATGGTTCTGTGGCCATAATACATGGTAATTGAAGTGGGTCCATCTTATAGTATAGTCATCTCAATTGTGTACATGGCACTTGTCTAATGCTTAAAACTGCCAAACTTTAGCGACAGACAGACAGACAGACAGACAGAGCAGACAGACAGAGACAGGCAGGCAGACAGGCAGACAGACAGACAGACACAGACAGGCAGGCAGGCAGACAGACAGACAGACAGACACAGACAGGCAGGCAGACAGACAGACAGACAGACAGGCATGCACGTAAAAAGCCCTCGCTGTGCATCGCTACATGTGCATGCCAACCATTCACTAGCTGATATACTGTAAGATGTTGAACGAGAGAAGGAAGGACGCTAGCCGAACCCTTTTGGACATTCGAGCTATAATAGGATGCTGTACACATGTTGCTGGTAAGTATTTTATCATTATGTGTTGTGTTCTCTCATCTCTCAGGGCCACTTCAGGAGAGGTGCAGTGTTGGAGAGTCTGGGTCGGTGGGAGGAGTCCCTCGCCGCCTACTTCCTCTGTCTCCACTTCAGCAGTGGTTCCACTGACGTCACTCCCATCATATGCCAGGTAAGCGTAGCTTTTAGAAATGACCTGGTAGTACATACATATATGGTTTTAACTGCGGAAATACACAGACCAGTGATTAGTGTGAGTGTATAGAAGACCATATTTTGAGTGGAGGTTGTAGCTCAGTGCATAGTGCACCGGACTTCCAGTCACGATGCCCGAGTTTAACTCCCAACAGACGTTGGGTACCATTGTGTCCTGGCCTGTATATTTCAACAATTTCTTCCTCTATGGTTGCATTTTCGTGAGTGAATACGTGAGTTGCAGGCACAAAATTGTGAAATTTCAGTTGTGGTGTGTGTGTGGCATTGTCAGTTTGATCTTGGTGGTTGGTAAACCCAGGCTATCTTGTCTGGAATGACATAACTAATGTTTGCATAATGACCCTTGAGATAATATGTTGTGTTAGAGATAAGTTACTAACTACATTCTATAGCTTTGAACCGCCCTACGTGATGTTCATGCATGCACATTGTCAACCTTACTATAGTAGATTTACCAACTGGTAAATTATCATGGACGTCCAGTGAGAAACGTAACATAGTGTCTCTATGAACAACAGATCATTGATCGCCACCTCCCTGATCGCAATTGCACCTCGTTTTCCTTTGAGCTGACTAGTCGAGTGGTGGAGATATGTCGCTCGAGGCTGGCAGCCGACTGTTCCTCCACTACAGACTTCTCAGAGGAAGAGAAGGACGACAAAATCCCTCACCATCTACTGGACCAGTCCGATTTCGAGTGCATCCTCTGCACTGGGTGAGCCAATAGCACACTCTGGTGCCCAACTATTTAGTGAGTTTGGTTCAAACGGACAGTATGTAGATGCAGTGGAACCCCTCTAATCCAGACACCAATTGGACAGATATCAGTGTGTCCACATTAGCGACGTTTAGGGGTTAAAATTACATGGCAAGAATTCACTCTTCTGGAAATAAAATGTGTCCTCTGTTGGGTGTCCTTGTTTCAGGGGTATTGTTAGACAAGGGTTCCGCTGTATTTGGTAGATGGTCATTGCAAACTGCACATTATTGCTCTTAACTGCTGTTTTTGCTCGTTTGAATTCCAAAAAAACCTTCCAATTTCTGAAATTTCTGTATTGGTGGAATTGGGAATCCGCAAATTTTTTTCATCTGCAACGAAACAATTATCATTTTCTACCGAATCGGAAGGTTTACTCCAGAGTTTCCTGATTCTACTTTACAATGCATTGAGTGGCAGGCTCAGCGAAAAATGTTTTCTGGGAGAGTGGTTATTTTATCCATAGTTCGGGGGAGGGGGCTGAGCCGTTATCAGGAGAGGGGACACATATTTGCATCATATGAGGTGGTGGCTGAGTGAGAGAGGGTATCCAAGAAAGGGTTGAAGGGAAGAGAGGGAAGCACATGGGGAGAATCCAGTTGCATCATGGCAGTGTTTACACACCAACTGGAAGCCGAGAGGAAGCTGTATCTTGCACGATGTGATCCACTTTGTGTAGTAAAGGTGGGGGTGTGTGTGTGAGTGTGCTGTGTGGATGGCCAATTATGCTGTGGAATTTCGACTGTGCTGCATGTCTCAACAACTTGGTATCGAGGCAAGGCAAACAAGTCAACTATGTTATTCTCATCTTACATTAGAGAAATACAATCTATGCATGGCTCTAACATGCACACACACACACCGTGTCTGTCTAGTACGAGGCGTCTGTCTTCCAGATTTTGGCTGGCTGCTTGCCTCAAACTGCAAATGCGAGTGTTTGCTATGATCTCGAGTAATACCCTGCTCTATGAGGTAGTGACTTTGATCTGCCCATGCAAAGTATATATATACATGATACGGAACTCTACTCTCTCCCTCTATCTAAAATCTATTCATTATTGCTCAATGGTCCTAAATGCCAGCAGGCCATGATTTCTAGATGTGCCCACCTGCATATCGGAGTATTTAACTACATCCACACGTGCATCATCCCACACTGTGCATTCATGGGCTTCCACGTAGTAATTAGTGCATGCTCCGTATACAGTTAGCCTTGATGTGCAGTGCATGACCTGCACTTGTCACTGGGAGAGTGAACTGAGCTACAAATGCTAGCCACGTTTGGGTATGCTTCTTTGATTAGCCGACACTTAGAAATGCAGGGCATGAGGGGACTTCCTGGAGTGTGATCCGGACTTTCTGTGTGTGTGTGTGTGTTACACTTTCCAGGTCGTTTCATTGTGGGCCGAAGTATGACCTGTATGGGAGGCCTATGTATAAGGGGAATGTTATGCAAGTATGACTTGTATTGCACGTGTGTGGTTGTGTTGATGTGTAGCTACATTGGTTTGCACATGTGTTCAAATGCAACATTACATATATATACAAGGTAGAGATATGACTCGTGGCCGTGGCCGTGGCGTGGTGTATATTTCAATTGTACCTTGACCCCCGATGGTTGTGTTAGGTGTGATTAAGAAAACATCCCTGCATGAGCACATGACTTAGTGTGTGGTCCGATTGCTAGAGCCCAGATGTGTGACAGAGTTTACACACGCAATGTTGCAGTGCCCAGACAGGACAGCATGAGCTGCTGTCCTGTCTGGGCACTGCAACATATTTGTTGGATATCCCTAGGGAATGACATGTATGAACCCTGCTTGCACATGTAGGATTGTATAGGTATCACTAAGTATGGTAGTACTTAGTGTATGGGGATGGGCATGGTACCTAGCATCATAGATGTATGGGGCTATGATAGGGAGTTTTTATATACTTAGTACACCGTGTAAGTTGGTGTACATGACTGTAATGTCATGTCCACTCTGTAGGCTGCTGGACAAGCCAGTGACAGTAGCCTGTGGCCACTCCTTCTGTCAGCACTGTCTCTCTCGTTCGTTTGACCACACCCCCTTCTGTCCCGTCTGCAGATCTCCACTAGCTGAGGTCAGTATATACCAATACCATTGTAACTAAAAACTTCTGCGACAAAAAACTCTCCAAATTGTCAAAGTATTTTTAGTGCAAAAAATTTGCCTATGACGTCAGCCCATACATAAAGTTTGCATTTAGACGATTCGCTGTCGCCGCATTACGTGTGAGTCACAATGGTGAAGCTTTGAAACTAAGGAATTTGTGTGCATATTATTGCTCCCTCCTGCACATCATCTTGCAGTTTGTTTTGCTGTATGGAGGTATGTAGATAAAACGGCCCTCCCACTCTTCCCTGTCTTGCTGTTTTGCCGTAAGCAGGCAGTAATGTTTATAACGTTCCTCCAGTAAAGGCTATTAGTTAGTGATTCTGTTGCCAGTCTGTCTGTGAAAGGATGCACCTCTCCCCAAGTCTCTATAGTGGTGTATAGCAATGCCTCTAGAATACAGGGAACTAAACTGTTTACATACATGCTTCCCTGTAGGTTTAGTGTTGGTATGAGTATATACACTGCCCTTGTAAACTTTCATGTTTGTGGCATTTATGTGAGTGGTGTTGGTGTTTGTGTACACGCTTTGGGACTCTGTCTGTCTGTGTGCCCATGTGAGTGTGTGCTTCTTCCTTCTTGCAGGGTTTTGTCCAGTATGCAAGGATGTCGGGAAAGATGGTAAGTGTACAGGTCATGTTGTACTAACACATGACAACAATGACATGCATGCCACGATATCCCCAATGATAGCAACTTACATCATGTGTAGTAACCAAGTTATATAGTACAAATAGCATTCTTCGCCGGATAACCTCCAATTGTATCGGTCATGGATAGTTGCATGTCAATCACATACTAAACTTTAATTAATAGTAGTGTATAAGGCGGTCAAATGTAACTGAGCGTATAATATTACTTAATCATGGCTTACCGCTACCCCTAGACCCTTATATAGCATACTGTATATTGAAACTACCAACAACATTTGCTCCTTTTGTGACCATCATTTAGTAAATCCTGATTTATACCCAAACGTATTAGCCACTAACCTATGTCACTAGCTAACGATTTTCATGTTGAGCTCATTGTTATATTATACTACATGCAAAAGGGAATGTTCCTATTGTAGACCAAACTAAGGGTGTGACAGTGCTGTTTGTGACAGTGCTGTTTGTGAGTGTGCTGTTTGTGAGTGTGCTGTTTGTGAGTGTGCTGTTTGTGAGTGTGCTGTTTGTGAGTGTGCTGTTTGTGAGTGTGCTGTTTGTGACAGTGCTGTTTGTGAGTGTGCTGTTTGTGACAGTGCTATTTGTGAGTGTGCTGTTTGTGACAGTGCTATTTGTGAGTGTGCTGTTTGTGAGTGTGCTGTTTGTGAGTGTGCTGTTTGTGAGTGTGCTGTTTGTGAGTGTGCTATTTGTGAGTGTGCTGTTTGTGAGTGTGCTGTTTGTGAGTGTGCTGTTTGTGAGTGTGCTGTTTGTGAGTGTGCTGTTTGTGAGTGTGCTGTTTGTGAGTGTGCTGTTTGTGAGTGTGCTGTTTGTGAGTGTGCTATTTGTGACAGTGCTATATATATATACTCCATAGAATGTTGATGAACTGCTGGAGCGTGTACTTCATAAGCATTTCAGAGCAGCGTGTGAAGAGAAGAGGAGGCAGAAGGAGGCAGAGAGAGCGCATAAATTAATGTGAGGTTTTGCTCAATCTAGTCTTGGTAAAATTATACCTATTGCAGTACTCTACTAGCAACGCATTTTTGGAGAGTGAAGCACCGAGGGTTAATAATAATATCGTTCCAATCACCCAGGGTCGGTGTGAGCGAGAGTGAGGAGCTGCCGGTGTTTGTCTGTACCATGGCCTTCCCGAGTCTCCCGTGTCCACTGCACGTCTTTGAGCCTCAGTATCGCCTAATGCTGCGGCGCTGCGTGGAGTCCGGAGGGAGACGGTTTGGAATGTGCTACCCAATCGACGGTGGGAGGTACGTTTGTAAGGGTAGAGGGAATGTGTCAGTACATAAGGGCTGAAATCAATAGGGTTTCCAGCTTTAAGTATATACCATTTCTAAGTTTAAAACTGCAAAATTCCCTTAAAATCCAAAGCACTTCACAAAGCCCACCATTAGCATAGCAGGACCTTTTCAAAGGGGAAAAAGATCAACAGCGAATTTTGCATATAAAACGTTTGTGGATTCCAATGCCCCCTTCCACCAACTTTTACAGAGGGTTATAAAAACTGTGGAATTCCTAAAGTTGTCCCTCTCTCCTCTATACGACACGTTAATTCATGATCAAGATTTCCTACACTTTGCACAACCCATTTTGAAACTGAGTTTTGCACAACCCATTTTGAAACTGAGTTTTGCATCCTTGAGAATCCATACATAGATGTCAAGTTTCACGAGCGAGAAGAATGAAATGTTGACAGAACTCTCTTTACCTCCAGCTTCAGCTCCTACGGAACGGTTCTGTACATCAACACAGTGGAGCACACGGCAGACGGTCGATCGCTCATCACCACAACCGGAGAGAAGAGATTCGAGGTTCTCCACAGGTCAACTTGCGACGGCTACAACACGGGCATGGTTCGTTTCATCGAGGACGAGCCAGTCACCAACCCCTGGGAGATTGGTGAGACCCTATTTAATTAACCCTTTGGGCGCCATTTACATATATGATTATATGCACAGAGCCTCCATAAGTGCATAAGAATTTATATTATTGGGCGGCCCCTCAATCATTACACAAACTCTAAATGGATTTAGTGCAGTGTTTGTAGGATAGTCGAATCAGCACATTGGAGTACATTCGGGATGATATTATATTATAAGATTCATATATATTAATTATGATTGTCTGTCAGATGATCGGTGCATTAGGATATTGAGGATGTAACAAATTGTACATGAAAAGCATACTAGCCATAGAGAATAGAAAACCAGAAGTCACCCATCACGTATCTCGTGATCTGACTAGTGATGAAAGTATTTTAAGCTTGATTCAGGAGAACCGTCTGTGCTCTGTGCTCCAATCAACATCACGTAGTAATCAAGCCCGATTACATAACATGGGTTGTTAAATTCTAAGAAACTGTAATGTAATACTACAGTTTGCCGTGCATGTGCGCTCTTCCTCCCTCCCCGAAATAAGGATGCCTTCCACTAACGTAAAGTTTCAGTGGAATGCTGTCCAGGAATTTGACATGCTATTCAGTTCGGTAGTTCTTCCGCTTTTAGTTATGAGCCCTCCCCCTCCCCTCCTGCCAGTCAGTATGTCTCAAGTCATGCCTCTATTTCCCCTGTGTCTGTCCCCCACAGTGAGCCTGAGATCACTACAGGAGGAAGTGTTTGATCATGCCAAGCAGTGGCTGGAGGCCCTCCCGGTCTATGCCAGGGTAAGACTGTGCACGACACTCACTGACTGACTGCCCCCACGTTTAATCTGGTCTGAAACTGGTGACAGGGGGCACGTGTGTAGCAGTCAATTCTACACACTAGGAGCCTAGCCCCATAGACCACTGTACATTTGCCCCACTTCCCACTTACAACGTAATATATTCTGCTTGGTTGGTATATAGTAGGTCCCTTTGCTCCCCACAGCTGCTCCTGACGCAGACAGTGTGCTGTCCTCTACCAGGGATAGACCCCCACCCCGAGAACTGTCCGTCTGGGCCCATGTGGGTCTGGTGGTACGTCAATGCCCTCCCTACCAACCCCCAACGCAAGATCGCCTTTCTCAAACTCACCTCCCTCCGAGAGCGCCTCCTGATGCTCAAAGACAGTCTTCACCTGCCAATACCCACTGTCTCTGCCAATGGGTATGACTCACGGGAGGTACACTCTGGGCACCAACTGACTGCTACACACTAGTAGTTGCTGTTTCTCTGCGTCCTTTGGTTGTCTCTTTGCAATGCCTTATTCTGTTGTGTGTGTTCTTGATTTTTTAACCCGTGTATGCTATCAAATGAAACTTATTTATGTGATGAACAAGTGATCAAGCGCAGGCAATTATTATATTATATAGAGTGACCAAGTCAGGTAAAGACCATTCTGGCCACATTGGCAGAATGATCAGTTGGCAATGCTCTCCACATTATCATGGAACAGTACAAGTTGCTAGGCTCCTAATTTAATCTTCCTTCTATGCACTGATGTACACGTTGACCTGCCCGATTACTTACCACCACCTGACACCCAGGTCCCTCTCCGTTAACTGCTTCTCAGAGCAGAGGAGTAGTTGTGGGCGTAAGCATGTGGCCTGGACGGCCAAGCCGCGACTCAACCCCTTGGTCACCATGCCTGACCTGATTGCTGCTTAATTAGTCCCGCTTGCTCTGCCCACTTATTAGCTGAGGCACTAGACCATGAGGGATAATTGACACATTTGCCTCAGGCCACTTGCAAATCGCAGCTTGTGGTTGGGTTGAGTACACAACTTGTCCATCCAGCACACACACTTGATCACATCAGTATAAACTGATGGAGAACAATAACAAACACATTAAAGGGGTGGGGTTGGGAGGGAAATTTTTTGAGCTCGTCTGGCTATGCTTCCAGCTGCCCGCTTACCGAAGTCTGACTGTCCACACGCATGCGCTCTATGATACCAAACGTTTCTGAGGTGCGCATGCGCCCATCGTCCTTATTCTGTCTGACTCCTCGGCCTAGAATATTAACTAGGTTTAATCCAGGTATTAAACCACATTTGCTATTGTTGATTGCAACACTCATGATAGAAAGCTGGGCAAGGTCACTTAGCATTGCGTGGTTCTGGTGGTTCATGGGTTGCATCAAAAAAAAGCAAAAGGTGGTCAACCCTCACGGTCAGATGTGTCCAGCATTATCTGACTACAGCATAATCATTCCTCTGGTGACCTTGTATGACACAACAAGATCTCTCGATGAAGCTGACACCTTTGCCGCTTTTTGATCAAGGTATTTGTGTAACACACATCAAAGTAGAAATGGAATTTTCGCACACAATTGGGAGCATTATGCACACGTTGACATTCCTTGCAGTGTGGTTGAAGGTTTAGTGGTATTTTAGTGGCTTCACACAAACAATCTAGAAGGGCTAAACAGCTGCCTGGTGCTAGTCTTGGAGCTTGAGAATGTTTCTCTTCTCCAAGTCCTCCATTTCCTTGAGAACGTATGCCACGCTGTAGCGTAGTTCGTGGAACTTGCTCACAGGTATCTGTAGCAATAGGAACACATCATTACATGCATGGAATGATCACCAAGGAGCCTGTAGCAATAGGAACACATCATTACATGCATGGAATGATCACCAAGGAGCCTGTAGCAATAGGAACACAATCATTACATGCATGAATGATCACCAAGGAGCCTGTAGCAATAGGAACACATCATTACATGCATGGAATGATCACCAAGGAGCCTGTAGCAATAGGAACACATCATTACATGCATGGATGATCACCAAGGAGCCTGTAGCAATAGGAACACATCATTACATGCATGGAATGATCACCAAGGAGCCTGTAGCAATAGGAACATCATTACATGCATGGAATGATCACCAAGGAGCCTGTAGCAATAGGAACACATCATTACATGCATGGATGATCACCAAGGAGCACAAAATGCTCTTGAAAGATCCTTATGACTGCTGTTCCTATAGCTCTTTAACAACAAATAATGACCTACACCAGTAGGTAGGAAGATTTTCGGACAAAGGGGGGCTCCACACGCATGCGCAAAGAACAAATAGGCGCTGCCACACCCACTGATTTTCTACGCGCGAGCCCGAGAAAATATAGGGGGGTGCCAGCCCCTGGAGCCCCCGCGGTTCCTATGCCACTGTACACACAGTTCTGTGAGAAGCTACCCATGAATATGAGTGGGTGATTCATTGTGGCTTGATATTGTTATGCATCCCCGCTCACACTCAGGCCCTGGTTCTATGCAGTCACACTTGTATATACAAGTATGTGCAATGACAACAGAGTGGCATATCCATTCAGTCACGCTCCTGGTAGCCTTTATAAACTCGTGATGCCAGAGAGAGAAGTTGCCCTATGCTCTGCTGATGAGGGCCTGAAACAGCTGTCCAGAGCTCCACATCTTTTTTCTCTTGGCATCACATGGTCTAATACCTTCATGAGGTGGACACATGGGGTGTATAATAGACAAGGGGCTAGTTCAAGCACTGAACAACAGGTCTAGTCTTACACCAGCAAGCAGCTCAGTCTAAAGGTGACCAGGCACACAAAGGACTCACAGGTCTTACACCAGCAAGCAGCTCAGTCTAAAGGTGACCAGGCACACAAAGGACTCACAGGTCTTACACCAGCAAGCAGCTCAGTCTAAAGGTGACCAGGCACACAAAGGACTCACAGGTCTTACACCAGCAAGCAGCTCAGTCTAAAGGTGACCAGGCACACAAAGGACTCACAGGTCTTACACCAGCAAGCAGCTCAGTCTAAAGGTGACCAGGCACACAAAGGACTCACAGGTCTTACACCAGCAAGCAGCTCAGTCTAAAGGTGACCATGCACACAAAGACTCACAGGTCTTACACCAGCAAGCAGCTCAGTCTAAAGGTGACCAGGCACACAAAGGACTCACAGGTCTTACACCAGCAAGCAGCTCAGTCTAAAGGTGACCATGCACACAAAGGACTCACAGGTCTTACACCAGCAAGCAGCTCAGTCTAAAGGTGACCAGGCACACAAAAGGACTCACAGGTCTTACACCAGCAAGCAGCTCAGTCTAAAGGTGACCAGGCACACAAAGGACTCACAGGTCTTACACCAGCAAGCAGCTCAGTCTAAAGGTGACCAGGCACACAAAGGACTCACAGGTCTTACACCAGCAAGCAGCTCAGTCTAAAGGTGACCAGGCACACAAAGGACTCACAGGTCTTACACCAGCAAGCAGCTCAGTCTAAAGGTGACCAGGCACACAAAGGACTCACAGGTCTTACACCAGCAAGCAGCTCAGTCTAAAGGTGACCAGGCACACAAAGGACTCACAGGTCTTACACCAGCAAGCAGCTCAGTCTAAAGGTGACCAGGCACACAAAGGACTCACAGGTCTTACACCAGCAAGCAGCTCAGTCTAAAGGTGACCAGGCACACAAAGGACTCACAGGTCTTACACCAGCAAGCAGCTCAGTCTAAAGGTGACCAGGCACACAAAGGACTCACAGGTCTTACACCAGCAAGCAGCTCAGTCTAAAGGTGACCAGGCACACAAAGGACTCACAGGTCTTACACCAGCAAGCAGCTCAGTCTAAAGGTGACCAGGCACACAAAAGACTCACAGGTCTTACACCAGCAAGCAGCTCAGTCTAAAGGTGACCAGGCACACAAAGGACTCACAGGTCTTACACCAGCAAGCAGCTCAGTCTAAAGGTGACCAGGCACACAAAGGACTCACAGGTCTTACACCAGCAAGCAGCTCAGTCTAAAGGTGACCAGGCACACAAAGGACTCACAGGTCTTACACCAGCAAGCAGCTCAGTCTAAAGGTGACCATGCACACAAAGGACTCACTGAGTCAATGTATGTAACAATGTATAATATTACTATGATTAAAAGGATCATGGATCATATATGGCACACTTAGTTAATCAATTGCTCTCGTAAAGAATCTGCAGGATGGATCAAAATACACCAGTTATGCGGGGGAGATACAAAACCCACGGTACAAGCCAAGAAGATTAGCATAACAAAGCAGCAATACCACTCAGAGTTACACAAGCTTGACTCTCTCTCTCCTTGTGCAGTCTATTAGTCCTTGTGGTAAAGGACTTGGAATGTGTATATGTACGACCAATGTGTATAATTATCTGTAGCGTTGTCGGAACACCTCTCCCCATAAAATACAATTTTTCGAGATGTACACACAAGTAATATTTGTAAACAACGTGTGTGCCGAAGTGTGTCTGTTTGTTGGAAAGTACGGTACATCCCACAATTCTACTCGGAATTGTGATGTCCTTTTGCGCAGGGCACACAGTTGCATGGCTAACCTCTCCACACATACCGCAAGGCAACCGTCACAAAACACTACACGCACTAATTGGCTAGTGGGACCCCGTTGTGCAAGTGTCAATTTTACCTCTTATTATACACTACCTGTAAGTTAATGCTACCCAACAACACTTCGTGTACTAGTAATTGATAGTGTATTTTGATCCATCCTGCAGATTCTTCTACATAACGAGAAACCCCACTGAACTTTTTCTCTCCTAAATACTGACCAGTTTTGGTTCACTATGATGATAATACTAAGACTCTACACACATAAGCCCACATACGGTAGCGTAGTACAACTTCCTAGATCTTGACAGCTGACTATCCATCAAGTGGTAAAGACTCAGTGAGTCCTTTATGTGCATGGTCACCTTTAGACTGAGCTGCTTGCTGGTGTAAGACTAGACCTGTGTTCAGTGCTTGAACTTGCCCCTTGTCTATTATACACCCCATGTGTCCACCTCATGTTTAGTGTGTCCACCTCATGTTTAGTGTGTCCACCTCATGTTTAGTGTGTCCACTCATGTTTAGTGTGTCCATCTCATGTTTAGTGTGTCCACCTCATGTTTAGTGTGTCCACCTCATGTTTAGTGTGTCCACCTCATGTTTAGTGTGTCCACCTCATGTTTAGTGTGTCCACCTCATGGACTGTGGTGCTCATGGCCGGCCACTCAGTTGTCATTGCACATACAAGTGTGACTGCAAATTACATCATAGAGCCAGGGCCTGAGCGTGAGCAGGGGTGCATAACAAGCCACAATGAATCACCCACTCGTATTCATGGGATAGCTTCTCACAGAACTGTGTGTAGGTCATTATGTATTAGTTAAGGTATAGGCGGCGGGCGTACTCCTGTACTCGCCAAGACACCTGACATTAACTGATTTGTAGTCCAACTAGCCAATAACAATGCTGAATTTCTGCTGCAGCATCCTGCACTAATGACTAATGACTGTTGTGTAAACTTTGGAAGCCAGACAATTTGCACTAGCCTAGCGCTAGATGTGTGATAAGGACTTCCTGTCCAATACTGATACTGGTGCAGCCCTCAGCTCACAGCTCAGAATACAGCGCATATTATATTCCAAGCACGGGTTTTTTGAAGTTGGACTTGTTAAAGAGCTATAGGAACAGCAGTGTCATATGACTAGGATCTTATTATACACTATCTATAGTTTTTGCTACTCAACAACGCTTTGTGTACTAGTAATTGATTAACACTATGGCCTTATTGCCGAGCGCGTTAGCGTGAGGCAACTACTCCAGGTTGTATTCTCGCGATATGCATACGTACATACGTACGTGTCCGTCACGCTTAAGAATGTCAATTAGTCACCAAAAGCGTGCACATTCCTAGTTGAATAATGAATAAAACCCTGTTGTGCCAGCTGCAACTGAAAGAGTCTACGTATGCACACTATAATATATGGTGGGAAACGTTTGAGGGCGAAAAAACGTTCAAGATTCAGTGGATAAACAGTATATACTTCCGCAGGTTGTATAATATATTCCCATAAGATAAAATCCCCAGATGGTTCTCAAAACTGTGAAGGTTTATACACCACTAATGACCACACAATATTGCCTGTTTATTGCTGTCTAGATTAGAGGGTTTCCCATATAATTAGGCTCCCAAGAGCTCCTATCACTTAATCTACTACAGTGGCGTGCGGTATGGTATGGTACTTTGGTCTAAACCTCAAAAGTCTTGATGGTCCCATCAGACAGGGTCATCTCCATTAGTATGGATGGCTCTAGTACCCGGTGTAGGGAGCTGGATGAGGAGGGAGAGAGAGAGAGAGAAGAAAGAGAGGATAGAAGGAAGGGATGAGGGAAGGGGAAAGAGGAAGAGAAAAAGTGAGAGAGAAAAAGAGAGAGAGAGAGAGGGAGAGAGAGATGTGATGGAGGAGGAGGGGCTGGTGAGTGTGACAGCTATATTATAAGTAGCCGGAGAACAAGCAATAAAATAGCTGGTTGCAGACCTGTTAGATATGGCAACGTCCAGTCTCCACCTGAGAGTGTCCATCTGTGGCAGTCTAACTCTCTGCTGCAGCAGACAGCGCTCTAGTCTCGCCTGCCTGGGCACAAAAACACACATACAGTAAGTACGAAAAGTCTATTACCCCATAGCACTGCAAACTCCAGCTATAGTCAAGGTATTCAGGATGGTTGGCTTGCCTGTCCTTTCCCCTACTTGCTTGCTAAAAGTACGAAAAGTCTATTACCCCATAGCACTGCAAACTCCAGCTATAGTCAAAGTATTCAGGATGGTTGGCTTGCCTGTCCTTTCCCCTACTTGCTTGCTAAAAGTACGAAAAGTCTATTACCCCATAGCACTGCAAACTCCAGCTATAGTCAAAATATTCAGGATGGTTGGCTTGCCTGTCCTTTCCCCTACTTGCTTGCTAAAAGTACGAAAAGTCTATTACCCCATAGCACTGCAAACTCCAGCTATAGTCAAAATATTCAGGATGGTTGGCTTGCCTGTCCTTTCCCCTACTTGCTTGCTAAAAGTACGAAAAGTCTATTACCCCATAGCACTGCAAACTCCAGCTATAGTCAAAGTATTCAGGATGGTTGGCTTGCCTGTCCTTTCCCCTACTTGCTTGCTAAAAGTACGAAAAGTCTATTACCCCATAGCACTGCAAACTCCAGCTATAGTCAAAGTATTCAGGATGGTTGGCTTGCCTGTCCTTTCCCCTACTTGCTTGCTAAAAGTACGAAAAGTCTATTACCCCATAGCACTGCAAACTCCAGCTATAGTCAAAATATTCAGGATGGTTGGCTTGCCTGTCCTTTCCCCTACTTGCTTGCTAAAAGTACGAAAAGTCTATTACCCCATAGCACTGCAAACTCCAGCTATAGTCAAAGTATTCAGGATGGTTGGCTTGCCTGTCCTTTCCCCTACTTGCTTGCTAAAAGTACGAAAAGTCTATTACCCCATAGCACTGCAAACTCCAGCTATAGTCAAAGTATTCAGGATGGTTGGCTTGCCTGTCCTTTCCCCTACTTGCTTGCTAAAAGTACGAAAAGTCTATTACCCCATAGCACTGCAAACTCCAGCTATAGTCAAAAGTATTCAGGATGGTTGGCTTGCCTGTCCTTTCCCCTACTTGCTTGCTAAAAGTACGAAAAGTCTATTACCCCATAGCACTGCAAACTCCAGCTATAGTCAAAATATTCAGGATGGTTGGCTTGCCTGTCCTTTCCCCTACTTGCTTGCTAAAAGTACGAAAAGTCTATTACCCCATAGCACTGCAAACTCCAGCTATAGTCAAAGTATTCAGGATGGTTGGCTTGCCTGTCCTTTCCCCTACTTGCTTGCTAAAAGTACGAAAAGTCTATTACCCCATAGCACTGCAAACTCCAGCTATAGTCAAAAGTATTCAGGATGGTTGGCTTGCCTGTCCTTTCCCCTACTTGCTTGCTAAAAGTACGAAAAGTCTATTACCCCATAGCACTGCAAACTCCAGCTATAGTCAAGGTATTCAGGATGGTTGGCTTGCCTGTCCTTTCCCCTACTTGCTTCTTGCTTGCTAAAAGTACGAACGGTTTATGCCACAAACATCCCGAATTAATTTCACTGTACGCTCCAACTACAACTAAGGTAGGTATTTGCAACTTTTCTTACTATAAGTACGATTTTTTAATCTTCCCTTAGTATGTGCTTTATAGCGATAACATCGCAGCACCATCCCTGAAAACTGGTTAAAGGACACATGGTTCACCCACCTGGTTTTGGAGGAAAAGATGACACTGTTGAGAGTAGCTATCATCTCAGGAGGCATTCTGAAACAGTCATTCAAACAATGTGGCTCATATTACATGACATCATACTGAGAAGCTCCTAGGCTCCTCAATTTATATTCTAAAATGAATCTTCACCTGCTCATATTACATTCGAAGCTCCTATGTAGGCTCCTCAAACTACACAGAAACAACATAATATATACAACTTACTTGATGAGCTGCAAGTCTTCCTTGAAAACCTGAGTAAAAAAACAAGCGATGGTCGTAAGTCAACAGTCTTGGATGCTTCAAGCACAAACTATATAGATACTGTGCTCTGTGGAAATTTATGGAAGGGCACACCTTTTTCGCTGCTATATTATGTGGGACATGGAATAGTTGGTGGAGAGATGGACATAAGTGACTTTGGAAAATGTGGGATGGCTTAAAATTGTCGTACTTTTAGCAAATGCTCTAGAAAGAGGGCAGACCAACCAACGTTTCTGCCTACCTTCACAATAGCTGGAGAGTGCAGTGCAATATGTACTATATATAATCCAAGGAGTGGCTATAAGATCTACACACTTTTGCTGTGGATCTGGATGTAAGGATCACTATTGAGAGGGTTAACCCATATACATCAATTTCTGCTTATTTAAGGAGACACCTATGGCGCCCAAAGGGTTAAGATAACACTGTTAGCAAGGGAGCCTAAGGAACTACAGTGGCTGAGATCAACTTATGTGCACGTTAAAGGTGAGTAACCCCTGTACATATTATATCATCAAAGAAGGGGGACAAGGAGGCAAGGGTCAAAAAATAATCCCTACTCCTTAAGTGGTGTTCCTCCCCCCTCCTAAGGTCTCAGGCACAGGTATAAAAAGTTGTCCACCCATCAGCTTTTACAAATCACATTTCTGCCTCCCCTCTCCTCCTATCTATAAAAAATCTGAGCACAATATAGGGTGTGTTTTGAAACGAACTTAATTTGCGCTTATATCTGCTTCTACATATCATTTATTATTATACATCTACGAGAGTGTTTCACAACCACAGCCTCGTCGCTCCGTGGGGGTCTGGGGACGAGGCTATGCAAAACCTACCGCTGATTTTAGTTTTGGAGTTCTGAGAGCAGCGGTAAGGACGCAGTGGACTCCAGCAAACACAGTCCTGATGTCCTCCTCGGGAGAGGTCTGTTTTCCCAGTCCTGATAGACAGTCCCGGGACCCTGACCCAGTCTCTACGTACTCTGCCACACCTGTTGTGGTACAGTGAAACCTCTGAATGAGGGACTCTCCCCGGGGACATGAAAAATGTCCTATATCCACTTATTATACACTAATGCATTAGTGTGGGGCAGAACCAAGTGCCCCTTATAGAGAAAGATTTCCTAGGCTATAACATACAAAAGTTTTGAGGTGTTCCTTTATCGTGCGTGGATCAGCAGTTTGGATGCTCTGCGGAATGCTGTATGGTTCAAATGAGAATTATCCATGTATGATACATCTATGGACCCTTGCAATCCTGATTCCTGATCTGAGATAATTAGCCACTCCCACTTTATGTACATGCTCTGGGGCAATGTATAGTAAGCTGTAGAATTAGAGATTCGTGCTGGATGGAGAGCTAGCTGGAGCTATGTCACGTGATGAACTCACACTGGACTATCTTTTTGAAGAGTGCTGTGTCCATGTTCTTGGCCAGCTGGACCGTCTTCCTCAGCTCCTGCGGTACCTTTATTCCGTAGAACGGCGTTCTGTCTGCAGCACCGCCAGCTCCGCTCTGCGCCATCACCTGGACAGCAGACATTTTGGTTCTCCTCTCTAGCGCTCCTCGACGAAACAGACCCCGCCCACAAAAATTAACGCATGCGCTTTTACACGCGCCCCGCCCCCATGCCATCGGCCGCACACCCACTGCGCATGCGCCTCTTTTTGCAAAACTGCGCATGGGCAAATGTCGCGCTAAAATCACCACATGAGCGTAGTAAATCGTACAAGCTCCCCCTGCAGCCATTCAGCAAGCGAAGCCGTAGCGATGTGGAGAAGGAGCACCGTTCTCTGTGCCACTCTGGCGCTGATGGCCGTCTGCACAGCTCAGATTGACGGTGAGGGAGCCGAGCTTGCCTGCGTGACCTGCACGTAGCTACGGTGTCTGCAGCCAGCCAACTTTGCGCCTTGTTCCACGTGCAGCTTCCTATGCATCCGAGCTAGTTGTAAGCGTCCTTTGTATTGTACAATTCTGCAGACGATTGCCTTGATGGAGACCTCAGACTGAGGGGAGGAGAGAAGGAACACGAGGGAAGAGTGGAGATCTGTGTCTCTGGAGAGTGGGGGACTGTGTGTGATGACCTCTGGGACAGATACAATGCTAAAGTCGTATGCAACCAACTGGGATTCAATTACAGCGGTGAGAACTGTAAATAAACTCTTCCGAGGAGTCTGAATCCTGCAAGAGATGTGGGCACAGTCACCAGTGTTTTGAGACATGAGAGAACTGAAATGGGGAGTGGAAGCATTTGAGTCTATGGAGACTAATTGTGTTGTGTCCTTCCTCAACACAGGGTTATAATAGCTGTGTAGTCTCCTGCAATAGAATGGCACAGTGTAAACACGCTGATAGTAAGAAAAACAGCAATATTTCGTGTGTGCCAATATTGCTGTTTTTCTTACTATCACAGTGTAAACACTGTGATAGTAAGAAAAACAGCAATATTTCGTGTGCGTATTTCTCAATCACGTAAACATTACGCTAGTGCTGGTTCACCGTTACAGAGTGATATATAATTATAATTATATATGAAAATCCCACATTTAGACGACTAGGTGGGCTCGCTTCGCACGCCAATTAAAGATGCAGACATTAGTAAAATAGTCAAAAGTAGAAAAAGTATGCTTTTTGGCTAAACTGGAAGAAGTTAAAGTTCATAATGCTCTACTTTTTCATTGACCCCAAATGCATACTCTAGGTACTTAGCTATGTGCATTTCACATGCAGACCTACCTACTACATACATTGTTTTGTTGGGTGTGTGCCTCTTAGATAATGAGCAAACAGGCATACTCTGAGATAAAATCACTCTGTGCCACTCTCGGTCGGCTATTGTTCACATTCCATGCATGTATATGAGCTTGAAAAGTGGTCCGATGTACCCACACCCAGCCCCCTGTCTCCCTTTTGATGGTTTCAAAGCTATAGGGATGAAATGGTATAGTGTAGTAAAGGTTGCCTTGGTGTGGCCATCCGTGTTTACAGAAGGTAGACTCTAACCTTCAACCTGGGGATCTTAGTGAAGCCTCGATTTAATTTTAGACAGATGACAAAAAATGTTGTTTTCTTCTTCCCTAATTAAGTCATGTAGAAAATACCATCATGTATATATGACTTGGCTGGAGGGAGTTTGAACTAATACTGTAGCTTAAAAATCTGTTCCTATTGGTTAGGGCATTGTTTATGCTAGGCCACTAGCTTTTTCATTCTTTTTTTTCAAGCCCAAGTCAACACTGACTAATGTGGTTGGTCCAGCCCACCAAACCTTTGGAGTCTAATTTTCTGGAATGTATACACACTGAGAGGAATGCTAACAGGCAAAGTGCCCCAAGATATCCTTTTTCAGGCCAAAGGGAGAGTCAAGAACTGTTCTTGTTTGATCTCCTCCCAGTGTTGGTATAGGCACGGGGTGTGTGCTGGCTCGCCATGTGCACTGTGGTTGTAGGGAGTTGTGTGTGTGTGTGTCTTTAGAGTCCTTACTCATAGCTCCTGCACTGCAGCAGTAGGATGAAGGCAGTGCAATACGTTGTCAACAAAAGCAAGCTCTTGAACCTCTCTATGTGATGTTTGCCCATGTGCATTGTCTGGCCAGAGGCAAAGTGGTTGCCTACTACATACATAAAGGCTTGTCCCACACAGCAAAGTTGCATCGCATATCAAGGTCTTGGACATATCACGCAATTCAGACGGCTTGCTCGCCAATTAGTTGCTCAGTAACTTGGTTGTGCAAATCTTGTACAGATTCCATCAGACAATTAACTCTCTCACTCCCCCTTCTCCCTCCCATGTCTCCCGCTCTACCCACATCCTTTCCTTGTTCCTTCTCTCAGTTCTGTTTCTCTTTCCTTGCTTATCTCTCTGACTCAAAACCGCCTCTCACTATGCTCTGAGCTCCTCTCCCTAATTTCTCCGAAGAAACTAAGAGATGAAGATTCCACGTCCAATTTCCTTCGTTATATTCCTAACACTTTCCCTTGCCCCACCCTTTTCCCCACATTTTTGCCTTCCTTTCTGCATACGTACCAGTAACTTTGGTTCAAATTTACACCTGGGGTGGAATTTTCATCCTGCGTCCTGCTGCTAAAAATGTACATCCAGTCCTGATATGAAATCCAACGTGAAGTTTCTTAATGTGCTTCACACAATTAAAGTGGTGCACTCTCTGTTTTTGTTGGTTTTTAAGTGTCTTGTCTATATTGTTTCTGCTCTCTTGCACGCTGAAAAGCCTCCCTCTTCCTTTCTCTCTCCAGCTGCAATAGCGGTGAGTCGGGCCCACTATGGCGAAGGTTCCGGACCTATCTTCCTGGACAACGTGGCCTGCTCTGGAAGAGAAGAGAGACTGACAGACTGCGTCCACAACGGTTTGTTGGAGCACAACTGTGGACATCATGAAGATGCTGGTGTCTACTGCCAGCGTGAGTCAGATCTCCTTCGTTAACTTTACTAATTTGTTGTTGAGAAATTGTGTTAGCACACATTATTATTAGCTTTCGAACTCTCTAACTGTCTACTTCCACCACGCACAATATATCAGATGCATGCACTGGAGGTAATGTTAATGCATCAAAGATGTTTTTATGTAGTAGTTACTACACCTTTTGGAGTGCTGTTGCTGGTTTACAAGGCCGACGTCCCGTAAGCGCCCGAGGGCGAGGCCTTGTAAACCGCAACAGCACAACAAAAGGTGTGATAATTAGTTTATTGATAGTTGCTAGGTGCTATGACGTCAATTGCCGTCGCCTACACGTGCATTTTTGTGGTTTCGCGTCTTCTGCCACGCTTTCTCGTGTGCGGAGCTCCCACTGGCGTTTCTCCTTGCTTTGCGCTCTGTTGCAAGTCATGGCAAAGAGGTCTCGAAGCCCTCTTCGCGTAAGTGTCGATGGGTGAACTTCAAAAAGCGAGGCTGAGGACGATGATCAATCCCGCCCGGGCAAAAAGCTGAGGTTGAGTCTGGCATTAGGGAAGTAAGTAGAGCCCATGAGTCAAGAGTACAGTGAGCGATTTAAATTTTTTGCCGGTGCTAAAGTTAAGACGCTGGAAAAGAAATTCGTTCCCAAGAACACGGAAAGTTGCTATGATGCACTTTAAGCGCAGTGCTTATATCGGATATAAGCACTAACCACGGTGCATATTGTCACCTTAACACCTCGTTGGTGCATTAGCTGATTTATAGTAGCACAATAAACATAGCAACCACCTAGCAACGGTCAATAAGCAAAGAATAGAAGCGTCCTGGTGTACTTTGCGTAAAAGCTGTGATTACAAACTATGTTAATTATCTACATAATCTCGTGTGGGGACTTGAATAGTGGGGTGATGTGGTAAGTCTGTCCTTTGTAAAAAGGAATAACAGCAGACTGTTCCTCTTATTCATATTATTATAGTTGAGAAACCCTTTCTCAGATTTAGAGATAGGCATGAGAGTATAATAATTATGAAGAACCACGGCATCACAAGAGGCCAGCAGACCTCTGGTGGGAAGATGTCCTTATGTGGTCATGCATTATAAGACCGCTTGCTTGATTTACATAGAGGATGGGATTGTCCTTCAAGGCCAGGCTACCTGTGTACACAAGTACATGGTCCTAATGTAGTCATGCCTATTGTGTGGGTCTGTAGAGATGTGGAGATAGACAGAGAGGATGTGTGTGGGTCTCCTGATCCAGAGTGTCTGGGGAGGAAAGGGAATGATCTCATCCCTGGGCATGGGAAAGCTGTCTTCCAGGAAGCCTTGCTGTGTTAATTAACACATTGTGCTTGTTAAGTAAAGTGGGTCAGTGGATTATGAATATAGTCCAGATATTTGACTCAGGGTTAAGGCATAGATGCGGGCGCGTGCCTAGCTGGGAGTGCAGTGATTTTGATGCAAAGAAGGTACGCAGGTTAGAATCCCACTTATACCGCTGAAGTCATTAGGGCAACTAGGGCCATTTGCTTTTGCGAATTGCTCAAAAGCAACATCTCGTGAGTGCGAAAAAATACACCCGCACAAAATCGAACATTTCTTGAGCCACACCTTGTAAAATTACTGCTATGTATGATATAATAATATACTTTGTCTTGTGCATACAATAGCTGTGGAGGAGGCATGTTTAGATGGCAGTATCAGACTAGCTGGTGAGAGAGAGGTTCAGAACGAGGGGCGAGTGGAGATTTGCAACCAGGGACAGTGGGGAACAGTCTGTGACGACAGATGGGACAGAAACGACGCTGCCGTCGCCTGTGCACAGCTCGGCTTTCTTCAAAATGGTGGGTTGCAACAGGTTTTTGTGTGTAATTTCTGCTAGCCTTTCATTACACGATCATCGATCTACAGGAGTTTCATGGACTCTAATCCTATCCAAGCAGCTTTTGGTCGAAAGAGGAGTTGACTTGGATATAGTTTGCCTTGACTCTGCCTTACCACCATGAGTGCAAAATTTAGTTGAAGATTTAGAATGTCTAAGTATATTAGGCTTGGTTTGCTCACAAGTAAAAAGGATTCTCTCCCACCCTTTCTCCCAGATGCCATCCCGGTGTCGCGTGCAATGTATGGCCAGGGAATTGGCTACATTCTCTATGATGAGATGGACTGCACTGGACTGGAGAGGAACCTGAGTGACTGTCGCAGTGCCGGCCTCCTTGTCAACGACTGTCAGCACAGCGAGGACGCCGGAGTCCTCTGTAGACGTGAGCATTTCACACCGATAAAATCTCAAAATAATGTATGCGTATGTGTACAACACACAAAATTCTATTACATTGACGTTTTACGTTTTAACAATGGCTATAAGTGGGAGAGTGAATCAAAAGGCAGTTAGAAAATCTACTTGTGACCTTCTGTTCTAAACAACCGTCTCCTTTACTAACAGCATGTCAGTTATGTTAACCTAAACTTTGTAGCAGTAATCCCACTGGCAAGACACTAGGTTTTCACTGCATTGTATTATGTGCGGAATCACATAATGCACAAGCTCCCAAGCCACATGGAAACATGCGCACGTTTTGGTTTTTTCCACTAATACCTACTGTGGTCTAGTCTTGATTTGCTTGCTTCACCTTTCTACCTCACGTTGTTGTTGACACATACCTACTGTTCCCCTCCCTCTCCTACCAGCAAGAGAAGACAGCCCGTGCAGTAATGGAGAGCTGCGACTGACTGGTGGCAGGGATTCGACCGAGGGAAGAGTAGAGTTCTGTTTCAACGGACGATGGGGCACCGTCTGCGACGACCGTTTTGGAGACAGCGATGCTCGTGTCATCTGCCGCCAGTTGGGATTCCCTGCAGGTATGAGTTACCAACACTAGGCAATTGTATATCAACTACGTACACCAAGGGCAACACCTTTTCCATATATCCTTATTGTACTGCCAAAATGTCAAAATATTTTTGATGCCTGGAGGGAGGTTCTTTCTCTCTTAAGGCTGGTGTAAGTTGATAATCCCAGCTTAGCTGGTCTACTTGTCTCAGTCAGTTCCTATTCTCCTTCCTCCTATTTCCCTCTATATACCATCCCAGCATTCTTATCTCCTTTCCCTCTGTCATCAACACCTACCTCCTTCCCTTACTCCCTAACCCGCTACCATCTAAACTGTAGTTTTCCCTAGAGCCTTTTTTCAGCCCTCCCTCTCTTTCTCTTCGCTTCCCCCCTCCTTTTTTACGCTGTCTCTTTTTCTCCATTCTCACTCTCCTGCTCTTTCTATTCCTCTCCCACTCTCCCTCTCCTCTCTTTCCCTCCACGTGCTCTCTAAATCTTTTTTAACCCTCTCCTCTCCCTGTCTCCCCCCACTCTCTCCCCACAAGGCTATGGTCAGTCGGGGGCCACATTTGGTCAAGGCGCCGGTCCAATATTCCTGGACGATCTCGACTGTCTCGGGAATGAGACAACTCTCCTCAGCTGCAGACACGACGGAGTCGGTTTCCACAACTGCCAACACTCTGAAGACGCATCTGTCATTTGCCTAGGTATAATTATGTAGCTTACAGTGGATAAATTTTGAGGTTGGAGAACATTTAGTTATCTACCTAAAAATGTACCAATGAAAATGAGTATGACGAAAGTAACAATGCAATAATCTTTTAAACTCTTTCCGCTAACCTACGCCAGAAAAAATGGAAAATCTTACGCAGGAGCACATAAATTAACATCTGCTTACTTGAGCTACTCTACTTGGCAATTTTACATTGAAATAGAAAATGCTGGTTGTTGGTGACGTGTGTTGCATGCCAGTGCTGTTTGTATTGTGCAACATTCCTCGCCAGAGCATCCACCCTTTTTTCATTGACCACAACTATTGCCAGATTCCGTTATGTTAATTCATTATGCATATATAATTTCCTATTAAAATCCAAATGAGCCACTAATTTGAACAAGAATTGTGGTGCACGAGTGTCCGTGTATACATAACATTAGATTAGACGGCAAAGGCTCGTACTAACATGCTCTAATAGGAGAAGCATGCGTTACCATAGCACCACAGATAACATGATAACGAGGGAAAGGACATGTCCGAAATGTTGGCAGAACACGTGTCAATATTATCCTTTAGGCCACATGTCACACTTGGATTGATACCAGATTCTTTCACTGGTACTGTTTGAAATGCACATTGCTGTCTTGTTTGAATCTGTGCTTTAGCAATTCAAAGCTGACAGTCCATCCTAATAGGGATGATTTTGAATGAGAAAAGTGTAGTGTTAGTTTATCCACGGTAATAAATTTGCCCTATCCCATAAATTGTATCATTCCTTTCTATCCTCAAAATGCACGGAGTTTCTCCTTAAAGCCTATTCCACTGTCTACATACAGTACATGAATCTCCAGCTACGTCACATAATGGAAGGCAGAGGGGTGACTTCTTTTTGATGCAGTGATCGTATACATATTATATTCCCTGCAGCTGCAGAGGAAAGGTGTATCGAGGGAGACGTGAGACTAATGAACGGGGACTACCCCAATGAGGGTCGAGTGGAGATCTGTATTAGCAACCACTGGGGTACTGTCTGTGACTATCTGTTTGATGCCAGTGATGCCAGAGTCGTCTGCAATCAACTGGGATACACCAATGGTGAAGGAATAGCGTACAAAATTTGAAACTTTAGTCCTTAGGGTCATATCTGTATCGTGCACTTTTTGCCAAGCCTGTTGAGCTACAGTGGTTAGCTCAATGCTTAGAAAGCAGAGTTGTGTGAGTTCTAGTACTCAGGGAAGCTTCTTTTAGAGTAAGTGTTGTCCTGGGCAACAGTCTATGCTGTGTGTACAGTATGCTTGACTTGCCTTGACATTGTATGATTGTCACAGGAGATGTGATCCAAGTACAGGATGGTTACTATGGAGCTGGACGTGGAATGGTATGGCTGAGTGGACTGGAGTGTTCTGGGAATGAGACACGTCTCCTGGACTGTCCTCTACCATACAGCAGTCGCTCCTGCTCCCACTCTTCTGACGTGTCCATCATCTGCCCCAGTGAGTGTGTGTGTGTGTGTGACAGTGCCTATAGAGTGGACTACACTCTGTCTTGCAAAATGCGGACTCCCAAAGAGAAGGAGAAAGAAGAGGGAGGAGCCAATTGTACTGGCAAGTAGTGGGAAATGAGGTTAAGTGTCACGCTTGTAGATAGACATCCAAAAGGTTTTGGGATATGCTATTATCTTCCGCCCTGTAGTGTTTGTACAGAAAAGCTGCCCCCTTTTTAAACCCTCGGCACGCAGGCACAGCAACGGTTACAGCTATTCTGGCACTACAGGCAACAGCAAGTACACATGGCACAGCCGAGAGTTTCGCAGTTTATAGTTATAATGCAATATTGGACCACCCCCACTCAAGTATTGGGTGTGGTCTGATGGTTAAGGACACACACACTTGATCGTGAGGTCCACGGTTCGATCCCGGGTCTCGTGGTGTTTTTTTTTAATAATGATGTAATGTGAGTGTTGATATAAGAGGAACGTTTTTTCATCAGCTCTCGTGGCCAGCCCAAGTGGCTAAGTGGTTAGAGACGTGGGGACTGTCACATAAGGTGCCCGGTTCGAATCCCGGACCCGCACTGAAACTGACAGGTGGTCCAGAGCATTGGCTGGGAACAGCTCTGGTTCCTCCCCTTACCCATGAATCTACCACTGACCCATGTTTCTCAAAGGGCAGCGTATAGTTCGGCATAGCACTGCGTCCGTAGACGTCTGCCTGGAGAGATGGAGGGCTGGCCCATTATGTTTTTATTTTTTTCAACCTTAGAATTTTTTGTTTTGCCTAAAACAAACCATTGATAAGTTGAATTAGTCCATAACATTCAGATATAATTTTTTGCATGCAGAGTATCATTTTTTTAAACCCATTAAATGGTGCAAGACATTCAGTTATATTTTTTAACGCATGGCCAGTATTGTTTTTTACACATGTAACTCAACATAACTCTTTCGGGAGGGCTGGCCCATTATTTAGAAAATACATTCTTTATTTTTTTTATGCATGGCTCAGTTTTTGCATGTGTCCTTTCAACTCTTTCTGATTGTCTATTACCATTTTTGGTACATAATTATATTTGCCCCGTGTCATTTTGTATGTTTATTAACCCTTACCTACGCAACTTTATACCGTCTGCAGTAAAACTAGCACCTCAAAACTACCACTCGTTTGTGCATAAGGTTGACTATAGTGGTGAGGATTAGTGTTCTAACCGTTGGTACACTACTAGACTAGCAAGAGAGTATATTGAGTTAATCTACAACACATACAGCCTAGCCCATCATAGCGGTAATGCTCAGTGTATTGCTTCGACATCTCTATTGTGTTGAGGGTTGGAAAATTTCATTTTCATTTGTTATTAATGGCTACATGGCGATCGTGAAAATGTACCTGGCAGGTCAGCATGTGGGAGTGAATGGTGCGTGTGCCAGGTTGCTAAGGTGTGCCGTTGTTTCTGCATTTCAAGTGGGTATCAGGCATTAGTGGTAGCGTGGATCTCAGTGGATGAGCTTTTATCTTTGCATGTTAGCCAAATGTGTGGTTTTCCTTTAATATGAGTGTGTATCTCACATCTTAACGCCAAAATCACTTTCTTAGTCCAACGATTTAATGCTGAATAAGCAAGTAAGAAACAAAGCACATTGTGTAGTATAATTGGAATTATTAAGACACCAGATAATACCTGCTTTTCAATGTGTAATGGATCGCAAATTTGCAGAAACAACAGGGCTAGTTGGTTTTTTATCCTTGAAGTTTGACACAATAAGATCTCACTCTCACCCCCCTCTCTCCTGATGTAGTAACTGCCAGTGGTGGGACAGTGGGCAGATGCAGTGATGGAGCCGTGAGACTGGTGAACGGGTCGCTACCCAACGAGGGTCTGGTGGAGATCTGCTACAACGGGAGGTGGGGTGCCATCTGTGAGGACCAGTGGGACACACTGGATGCCACTGTCGTCTGTCACCAGATGGGATTTCCTGGGGACAGTGAGTCAACATTTGCCCCAACTTATCCTTCTCTTCTCCCTTGCTCCATCCTATTTCCGTCTCTAACTTGGTATGCTTTATCTCTTCCCCCTTAGCCTTTTTCTTTTCTATCTTCCCCTTCTTCCATTCTCTTGAGAGATTTTTAAAAAAGGAAATCACTCTCATTATTTTCTACAATTCTTGGTCGATGGCCCTAGTTCTATGGCTGCCACCGGAGTATTATTCAACTCCTTCTTAGTGGCTGTGCTTTCTCCCTATCTCCACCCTCTCCCCTTCTCTTTTTTCCTTCTCCTTCCGCTTCCATTCTCTCTCCTAATACCTCATCCCCCTGTCTCAGACGCTAGCTCTCTCATTGCATTCTTCTTTCATATCGTTCCCTCACTCGCCCCTCACCTCCTTCTCTCCTCCCAACCCTAAATCTGATCTCTCTCACTGATCTCCAATGTCCAATCTCTCTCTAACCAGGCGTGATAGCGGTGGGTAAGAGTCTATTCTCCTCGTCGTCCGGTCCCATATTCCTGGACAGTGTCGACTGCCAGGGGACTGAGTCCAGATTGGATGAATGTTTCGACCGCAGCTCACTCGGAACTCACAGCTGTCGAGACGTCAGTGGCCATGCTGGAGTCATATGCCCCTGTGAGTTACTCTGAATGACTTCCCCACTGCACTTTTTACCCGTTGAGCGGTTTTTGTGAATTTAGCAACAGAGTAATAATATTGGTATATACATAGTGTTAGAAATAGAGTTATATTGGTACATAGTGTTGTAGATGTAAAAAAAACCTTTTGCCACTTTAGTGACTCACAATATTGAATGTGTATGGTGGGTGTTGCTGCAATTTTGAAACCAGAAAAAAGACCGACTGTGAATCATGTCTGTTTCCAGCAATAGAGAGGACGTGTGACAACGGAGAGGTGAGGTTGGTTGGAGGAGGGACCCTGTTGGAGGGGAGGGTCGAGGTGTGCTACAACAGCCGGTGGGGGACAGTGTGTGACAACATGTGGGACAGGAGGGACGCCAGAGTCGTCTGTAGACAGGTGGCAGGAGAGTACGGCCTCGAATACGATGACTTCTTCAGTAAGTCCTTACTGTGAGTATACTATACGTATGTAGCACCTGTACTCTACGTAGACTGCTTACTCATTACTCATTACGTTATCTCACCTTGTCATTAACCCTCGGCGCGCATGCGCAGGGAGGGTTACAGTAGTTGGTTTGTGTCGACGCTTATTCTGGCACTACAGGCTATGAGGCTGCCTATTAGTGATACCAGCGGCTTCAGAACTACGTGAGCCTGAAAAGTAAAAAGGCGGTTTTCCTGTAGACAGGTGGCAGGAGAGTACGGCCTGGAATACGATGACTTCTTCAGTAAGTCCTTACTGTGAGTATACTATACGTATGTAGCACCCGTACTCTACGTAGACTGCTTACTCATTACTCATTACGTTATCTCACCTTGTCATTAGCCCTCGGCGCGCATGCGAAGCGAGGGTTACAGTAGTTGGTTTGTGTCGACGCTTATTCTGGCACTACAGGCTATGAGGCTGCCTATTAGTGATACCAGCGGCTTCAGAACTACGTGAGCCTGAAAAGCGGTTTTCCTGCGTTCGAGAGATATGCTGTGAAAACCAGCGAAAAAGCCAATATGCGTAATCGCACTGGGCTTACTGCGAGTGATTGGTTTAGATTGAGTTATGCTGACCTTCACTGCTGGTGTACAGATCCAGTGGCAGTGAGAGGGTCAGGTTTTGGCAGAGGCAGTGGTCCGGTGTTTCTGACGGATCTTCTCTGTGTTGGCTCAGAGCAGAACCTGCTGGAGTGTCGCGGAGCCGAGGTTGGGGTCTATGACTGCAGCAGTGCCGGCATCTACTGCGGACGTATGTAGTCTATAGTCTGTGTATTTAGCAGTAGTCTATAGTCTCTGTCTATGGTAGTAATGTAGTTACTTGACTGTCCCTACGGCGTAGCATAATAGTAGAGTGTCTGATGCTTAGATTTCTGTGGTGTCCAACTGTGTGCATCTTTAATATGGAGACACATTAGACAAGGGCAAGACTGCTAAAGTAATCTAGTGTGAAAAAGCTTTCTCGTCATGTACTCTAGTGCAGCGTGCAAATTGTGCAGATGCAGTATTTTTTGGGGGGCAGCTCTATGCTCTTGAAAAAGGTTTTGTCTTGAGCGTCGAGTTACTAATACACCCCGTGATGCATGGCTGCTATCCATCTAACAGTGCAACCCTGTAAGGATGGGTCTCTGCGACTGGCTGAAGGGTTGCCAGGCTCCAACAACACTGGCCGAGTGGAGATGTGCATCAGAAATGTATGGGCTGGACTCTGCGACACGGGGTTTGATGACAGAAATGCTGAGTTTGTCTGTTCCCAACTTGGCCTCCCTGACAAGAGTGAGTAGATGGGCCATTTTTTTGTGGTTTGCAGGTTTTTTTTCCAGTTTTGCTAGTAGTACATAATGATGAATGAGTGAAGGAAATTCACTGTTTTCTCAGACGCAGTGTCAGTAGGGGGAGATTTCTTTGGTCACGGTCACCACATATCATCGTGGTCGGTCGCCTACTCGTGCGACAATGGCAGTAGAGGGTGCAGTCTCAGAGCCACGACCAAGACAGAGTGTCCTCATGTTGGAGTATTCTGTGAACGTAAGTCTTCGCTTCCGTGTCGTTAGCAGTTGCTCGTTGTATGTGCATTTTGGTGACTCTAGTGAGTTTTTCCTTCTACTGAAAATGTACTGTGGGTCCCAGTTACTTACCAGTGTCCTGTCGTCCATAGAGATGGTGACAAGGTGCAGGACGGGCCACGTGAGAGTGGTGGGCGGAGCCAATTCCTCGGAGGGAAGGGTGGAGGTGTGTCTCAATGGACAGTGGGGGAAGGTCAGTGCCTGCTGCGATGTGTACGTAGCTAGCTGTCACTACTTGTCTGTAGATATGTGACGACTCTTGGGATGATAATGCTGCTAAAGTGGTGTGTGGGCAATTAAATCTACCAACAATTGGTGAGCTACACACTTATATAGAGGCTTTATTGTTTATTCACACAAGAGTTTATTATAACTTTAATTGTTGAGTGTATAGTTTCTCCTTAGCACATTACCCAAACCTCCAATCATTTTACAACACCAAGGAAAAGCCACAATTTAACAGTGTACACACATGGTTTCCTCCATACTCCCAGGAGCCAAGGCAGTGGTGGGATCATCAATATGGGGGTCCTCCCCCTCTCTCGACTATGTTCTGGACGACGTGAAGTGTTTTGGGAGTGAGAGCAAACTACTGGACTGCCACAGCAGCCCTGTTCTCTCTCACAACTGTCTCCACACTGAGGAGGCCGGCGTCACTTGTCACGGTGAGGGGCTATCGAGTCGGTTTTCTGGTAGCCTAGTTAATAGGATCCTCCATTTGCACATGGTAGTAGGCACAGTGTTTAGCGAGATGGTAATGTGAAAAGAAAGCATGGCATTAATGCACTGGTGAAAGCTGTAGCAGTGACGCTATACTCATAACATGCCAACTAAGTACGTACATTGAAAGTGCTTTATGCGTGTGCACACTTCAGCTGATATGTTGAAACTTTAGCTGTATGTAGTATATATTACACTACTGGCCTTTTGGAGTATGCTTCAACTAAACAGTTACTGCTGCAGGTAAAACAAGCAACTCGGGGCAGAATAAAACTCTGCCCACGGAGACTAGTCCAGCAGCAGTCAGTTGTATCAGGGGAGGAGGGGGAGGAGAGGAGGACATGTACTCGTCAGGGCAAGTGGCTGCCATCATCCTCCCGGTTGTTCTGGTGATGATGGTTGTCTTGGTCTCTTCTCTCGCTGGGATGTGGCTCGTCCTCCAGAGGAGAAAGAGGTGGGTTTGGCAGGGAGTATATCACCGTTAGTGTAGGTTATCAGTAAGTGAATGCAGAAGTGAGATTTGAACTATTACCCCTCAATAAAATCTTTAACTGAAAACTGCTTCTAAGTATTTCCCTGGGGGTTGTATATAGTTAAATTGTCACAGTTAACTAATTGTGATGTAAGAGTTCACAAGACAAACTTTTCAACAGGTCAGTAAACCAGTCAGACCAGTTTCCAATCGCCCGTGGCCAGGGTATTGTCCAGTTCAACGAGTTTTCGTCTGAGTCAGAGTCACTAGACAAGATCTCTGGCACCAACACAGCCATCTGAATCCCATCCGACCCTTCCAACAGCCTCGTATGTACAGACAATGACAGCTAGAGCACAAACACATTTAGGTTAACTTTTGGTTTTTTCATCACACGTGTATATAGGACTAGTTTTGGCGGAGAATGTTAGGCATCACCGAATCAATTCTTTAAACAGTTCCATTTCTCTTTTAGTTTTTATAAATCACTTTGTATGACTGTGAATATTTGCTTTCAAAATTTAATGATGGATACATGAACCATTGGTTTATGTCAACTCAGTTGGTTTGCGGTTGAATAACTCAGTCAACTCGACATTATTGCTACCATCAAGGCAAACATCCGTTCTTTTCGTTCCTCCAATTCTGCTGACAATGAATATTTTACCGTACAAAAATCGTACAGTACTTTATGCTGTGAATGAATGCTACAAAAATCCAATTATGCACCCCTGGAAAATAAATTAACGACTTCAAAACACCCACCTTTTGATAAATAAATAACATGACCAGTAATAATATGTGTATTTAAAACAGTGTTACCGGTGGTCTAATAGCTCTGCCTACCTACCCCTCCTTGTTTTTCAAGTGCTCAGCAAAGTTTCTGACGGCCTGCTCCTGTTTTCGGGTCTCGATTGACCCTCGTCTTCTCCTCCTAGTCTCAGCAATGGCGTCGTCTCCGGTGTAGCCCTCTCTGGCCACCAGATAGCAGGCCAGCATGGTCCCCGTCCTACCTCGACCCATCGCACAGTGCACACCAACACCCTGCACAAGACAGATCAGCTTCACATCTGTATAACTCTGCAACATCTCGCAACTCTATTGACTTTGCTCTAAATATGTAACGTGCTCTGCGGTTTCTTCAAAGGTCTACATTGTTGGCTTTTCATGTACTGTATATACATAGCTGCTCAACTTTACCCACACCAACTTCAACACTGTCACACTGGGATATGAACTTGTGTACTATGCTATGCATTCGGTATGCACACCTGCGTAGGAGGTAGAGAAGTTTTCAATCAGAAGCAAAAGGAGTCATGTGCAGCTTTCAATCTTGTTTGGAAGTGTGCGTGTTGTGTGTGTGTGTGCCAATTACACTTTCTGCATTTTCCACTATCCGGAGGAATTCCTCAATCTGCTCCATTGTAGGTGGAGTGAAGTCCTGTATGTCAATAGAGTGCACCGCCATGCCGTGAGCTCTAGCATCCTCTTCATAGGTGGAGGGATGGGAAGCCACTGTAGTTAGGTTGACCAGAGTTCTAATACCCTCCTGGGCGAGAAACAGAATATTCTCACTCACGGGATAGCCCATTCCCGCCAGTTTACCCTCCACAAACCAGGAGAAGTTCCTAGGAGAGGCCATCTTTTGAGAAACGATTGTGGTTGCTTCTACGGACTGGGCGTTAATTAGAAGCTAACCCACCTATAATTATCGCGCACCCAAGGAGTTTGAGAGGAAGCGGGGGCACTGCAATTTTGTCGGTATGGCGTCAAATGGAGCTGTTTTGGAGGATATTGTTGACGCCTGGGGAGAAGATATGAGCGGTGAGTCGAAATTGAGACATGCATGGGATGTTGTCAAATAGTCAGTTTGCGCATTTCGGGGGTTGTAGTTGTGATGGTTGCACACTTGCATAGGAGGTAGAGGTGCATACTCCCACTAGTGTTCCCAGACCTTCTCTCCTCGCGTGAGGGTCTGGCCAGTGAGACTAACCCACATCTCTCTCTCTCCTCAGCTACAGACGAAGACTCTGACACGAGGCGGTTGCTCAGCGAGCAGGCAGCTCCTACAGCTATGGCTCCTCTTCCGGCAGGGGAGTATGGATCCATCAGGAGAGCACAGACCCCGCTCGTCTCCCTGGAGCCAGCCGTTTAGCCGCCTCCTCTCGCGTGGCCCCGCTCGTGGAAGTGGGAAAGTCGGAACGGAAGATGATACCTCGCAATAGGAGAATAGACATTAACAGTGGACTGCCACCCAGTGCGAGTTTCTGCTCCAACAGAGTCAGGTATACAGTATTCCTTCCTGAAAACAGACCCTCTGATTAAACGATGCCTCTGGTATAAAGGACTTCTGTCCCATACTAACACATTAGTGCATTCTACCTCTGAATAACGGTCACCTCTGGGATAAAGGGCAATTTGATGCCCCCAGGGTGTCCATCATTCAGAGATTTCACCTTGTGTATAGTTTAATGGAGAGCAGTGGACAAGAATATGCAATAGCTAACAAAATGCTATATATGTAGATGCGTATTGTTTGCAGGGATGCTATATGTGGCTTGAAGTAAGTGAATTGCATTAGGCAAGTGTCTGCCCTTGGAGAAAGGGTAGATGATGTAAAGTCTTGTGGTTTTATATATCTCAACGCTCGTTTTTATACTGTTACGTATGTATTTGAACCTCACTAATCACATGATGTGCCCATGATTATCACTCTCTGTGCAGCACGACCAAGTACAACCCCCTGACATTCTTCCCCTACTTCCTGTTTGACCAGTTCCGTCGCTATGCCAACCTCTTTTTCCTCGCAATCGGCTTGCTACAGGTAACGGTAACAAAACAGTTAGTGTGGCCATCGGTAATTGTGTAGTTCCTTAGGCACATTATATATCTTTGGCAATAATGTTGGCTAGAAAATACCAACCCATACACTTCTGCTATTAGCGATCCACACTGTGTGCTCCATTTGTTGGATATCACTAGGCAACCGACAGAAGCTAGGTATTGGGGGATTTTATCAGCCTATACAGTCCTACATGTGCAAGCAGGGTTCATACATGTCATTTGCCTAGGGATATCCAACAAATCCGTTGCAGTACCCAGACAGGATAGCATTCGCCCTTCTGGGCACTGCTCCATACATATACAGTACATTAATCGCTTATGCCTCTAACATATATATGCACAATGACAAGCATGCTCACAAAGAAGTGTATGTATGTATGTACGCTTGCTGCAGCGCTATTAAAAACGCAGTTTGTATGGAACTGTGCCTCGTTATGCAGCAAATCCCAGGGATCTCCCCAACTGGAAAATTCACTACCCTTTTCCCCCTCTGCCTGGTTCTTCTCGCCACTGCTGTCAAAGAGATCATCGAAGATGTGGTACGTATGTCACTTTAGAGAAAGTGTTAGGCTATGTATGTTTATTGACCGTTGCTAGGTGGGTTGCTATGTTTATGGACTTAACGTATAGAATCTAGCTAATTGCACCTTTTAACGAAAATGGTGGTAAGGTGAACCATAGATGCCCGTGGTTAGCTTGCTTATAGACTAGATATAAGCACTGCGGCTTGAAAGTGCATCTGAGAGACGAACTGTCTTTTCCAATGTGTATGAACTTTAGACATTTGCTCAGCCCCCCAGAGTCCGCTATAGGTAAAAATCCCTGTCACCTCAGCTGCAAGTGTAACTCGTTCTTGGAAGAGGGTAAGGTACTTTGAAGGGTGGGACCAGCCGGAAGAAGGCCCATGTGCACTTTTACCATTTTCATCAAACCTCGCGTGGCCAAAAGGAAAGAACGGCGGCACACAATCTAAACCAGGGAAGGCAACCCATCAACAATACGATAGAGAAAGGGAAGAGAGGGCTGAACAGAAGGGTGAGAGAGCATGCTGCAATCCGGAACAGGAATAAGGAACAGCAGAGACGATATGACTGAAGGGAGAGGCTACTGCACCGTGTGACTCACATAGTTGCGGGATTGTTGATGAATGTATTCATGTCGTCCTCAGCCTCTGCTTTCTGCAAGTTCACCCTCTGACCTAGCTTATCAAGCAGTGAAGAGCTGGCATAAACTGTATGGTCTAATAGAAGGTAGAGAGGTGGGCGGAGTGGTGGGTGGCGGGTGGTTTAGTCGGCCACGCACCTGCACGCAAGGGCCTGCCCGGACTGATAGAGTGTGAGAGTTACGGCAAGGTGGAAAGGAGGAAAAAAGCTATAGCAAACGTAGATTAGTAAACAAAAGTAAGGAAGGGATGTTCGCCTAAAAGATAAGGGACAGGAAAGAGTAGGATACGGTATACGAGCGAGGGAGTACGAATGGGAACCAGAGATAACCCCAGACAAGAGCGTAATGGATTAGTGTTAACTAGCGTGTAATGGAGGTCTCTACTAGGGTTTCTAGGGCCCGTCAGTTTCTTAGGTTCCTTTTAGTTTTGTCAGTGGGAAAGCTCTTTTTCGCAGACAAGCACACGGGAGAAGGGGAAAGCACGGCAGTATAGAAGACTAGGACAGACAGGAATTGAGAGAAGGTGAGACGCGAACCACACAAAAACTGCAACTTCGCGTGTAGGCTGAGCGGCAATTGACGTCATATGCACCTGAGAAACTATCATATAATTACTAATTATACACCCTTGTCGTGCTGTTGTTTCACGGTTTATTTGAAAGGGCCTCGCCCTCGGGACATGCGGTCGGCTTGTAAAACCAGCAAACAGCACTCCAAAAGGTTGTAGTGGTGATGTGGTTTGTTTTTTTTTGTAGTAACTACTACATGATGTGATGAGACCACCTGAATATTGAATGCAATATCGCTCCAGAAAAGGTTCAGATCGCTGAAATTCCTATAGTACACGGTAGCAAAGTCTACGCGTTGGTTCACATATATAGCATGTATGCAACTATGCAGAACCTTAGTGAGAATAGAAGAAAAGAGAAAGGAGAAAGAAGAAAAACTAAACAAAAGAGAAATGAGAGCAAAAAATGAGCGTAATAATCACAAGAGTAGAGAGAGGAGAGGAGAATGAGGGGAAAAAAAAATAAAAAAAGATAAAGAATAGAAAAAATATCCTGAAGAAAAAGAAGAATTTAGAAAAAGGAGAGAGATGAGAAAAAGAGAAATAACGAAAAAAAAAAAGATAGTAAATGAAATGGTTACGAAAATAAAAAAGAGATAGATAGAAGACAGAAGAAAAAAGAGAATAGAGGACAGATAAAGAGAAACGGGAAGTAAGAAAAAAAAAAGAAACAAAAAAAAAAGAAAAAAAAAAAATACCAAAAAAAGTCTCAAATTACGGTGGAGTTAAAAAACCATTAGCTAGGGTTTTACATTGAG